AATCAAGCACAACATTGCCCACATTGCAAGAAAAACCCACCACGTGCAGGCCACATGGCCAAACACATTATTCGAAAACCTACTCCAATGAGGATGGACTTCCCAGATGACATATGTCGAAGCAATATCCATTAAGTTTGTCCTTTTACCAGGGGGCAAACAAAATGAAGAGTTTGTACTAAGGATCAAATCGAGAAAGAATGACGGGACAATTCCTTGTCGATGATCAATTTAAAAGAACCCCGGGTTAAAACATAAAACCAAAGCAAACATATCTTATAACCAGACAATCATACATCATACCGTATTTTCACGTGACATCAATGAAATCATCATAACATATCATAAAATCATACGTCCATATGGACTTCAGACATCCATCGGATGATTTTATACAAACTATACAACAATTGCATGTTTTTCTGGCAAAGTTTGGCATTCATTTTGACTTACAATTTTGGCAAGTCATTGCATCACTTTAAGTATGTCTGCAAAAAATATCATAAACCAGTAGACGATGACTGGCGAGCATCAGCAAATCCGCCAATGTTGTCGAGCATTAAAGAAGTAGAATAGGCGATTACTGGTGAGCATCAACAAATCCGCCAACGCTATCGAGCGTTAAAGAAGTACAGTAGACGATGACTGGCGAGCATCAACAAATCTGCCAACGCTGTCGAGCGTTAAAAAAGTACAATAGACGATGACTGGCGAGCATCAGCAAATCTGCCAACGTTGTCGAGCGTTAAAGAATTACAGTAGACGATGACTGGCGAGCATAAGCAAATCCGCCAATGCTATCAAGCGTTAAAGAAGTACAGTAGACGAGAACTGGTGAGCATCAGAAAATCCACCAACGCTATCGAGCGTTAAAGAAGTAGAGTAAGGAAAGTAGCCAAACAGAGTAGCCAAAATGAAACGAAAGGAGTGTTGCTCTTCGAATATGAGGTTGGTGATTTGTACTACTTTTGTCTCTCTATTTTGATTAATAACATCTGTAGATTGATTTTACTGTTAATCCATGTTGGCAAGCACCTTTTAATTTGAACGATGAACTACATACCGGTTATCAGCTTGCTTTCATAGTTTATTCCCGTTTATACGATTTCTGCTTGGGTGCGTATTATTTTTGCTATACCTTCACTACGATCTATATATTTTTTCCAACTTAATTTTCATCATATTTAAATTCCTTCTCTTTTGTAGAAAATAGATTCGAACACTACTACTGTCATATGCGTATTATAGGAGCAGCCGAAAATCCAATATAAATCCCACATAGATCCAATTCCAGATTTAAGATTATTATAATTAAAACCATCAATCTTCCAAACCCAAATATGAAGATCACAACCAAACACCGGAACCTAACCAAACATGCATCACAAGTATAATCAAACACATATACAACACACATATGCAGAGTTTGCTACCCTAGAATATGAAATCAGCTTTGAAACCCTAGATCCGATTTACTATATTTAGATCTACATATCGCTATATTATTAAATATTTTATTTTCATAAAACCCTCATTAGCTTTCAAATTAATAAATCACAAAATCCCAACCAAACCAGATTGCTGGAAACTTTAGTTTATTTAGTTTAGTGATCGCAAGCAGTGGCAGTGATCATGAATGATCTAGACTTTGTTTTTATGAAATTAACTTGCAAAATAAGAGCCGAAAAGCACAGAAAATAACCATTTTTCAAAAACCCGGATCAGGTAGCAACTCTAGAATCCATAAACCAAAAAAATTCATTTTTAGATTAATCTCTCGGGTTTAAAGGAACCTCACCTAAGTTATGCCTTTCCCAAAACCTGTGAGAAAGAAGAATAAAATTTTGAATTAGATTTAAGTATTTTTATTACTAAATAAAAATGACATATTAAGGTTAATTTAGGAGTCAAAATATTACCTTTCATTTTGAGACAAGGTTGTCGCCACCAGGGTCTCATCGCTGACCAAAACCAAGGAAAAGAAGATAATTAGAAACTCGTCTTTGGAATCGAAAATCAAAGAAAACTCTACATGCCAATCAAAACCTCACCTAGATCTCGTTGGCATTGACGAAATAACCCCATCACCGACGGCTCCCTCTCTATCTTTCCTCTCCTAGACCAAATCCCTAATCCAAAACTAAAACCTAGAAAAATCAGAATTCTGCTTGAACCAAAAACCAACAAAATCAAGATTAAAACAATTTTTTATGAGAATTTTTTTGATCTAAACATGCATGTTAAGAGAGACTTACTAGAGGGTAAGGTCGTCTCACTATCGCCGCCGTGCCAACTAGGACGAATAGATCGAGAAATAAAGGAAGCAGACTGGGAAGCCACTCTCGGTGGTCAGTCAATTTCCGAAAGTAAAACAGAAAAGGGAGATTAGAACTCTGAAAACCCTAAAAACTCAAAGCCGGAACCAAAGAAAATCAAGCATGCAACCTAAAAAAAACTCACCTTCGTCGTTTGTGCCGTCGACGACCTTCGGGTTGCAATTATAGTGGATCTATCTGGTCTCCGGACTCTATTTGGTCTCGACATAGAAGAGGTGAGAGGAGATTTCAAGGCGAGTTTTTCATGTTGGTTAGTGGAAGAGAGAATCGAGAGTGAGAAGGCGGGTAGAGGAGAGGAGAAGGGTCTCGATTAGGTTTTCGATTTCTGGGTAGGAAGAAGAGGAAGAAGGCAATTTTTTATGTTCTAGTTCTTCTTTGTTCGTTGTGTTTGTTGCAAATGGGGAAAGAGAGACGAGAGAGAGAGAGAGGCGAGAGGCGAGAGTGAGAGGAGGCCGCTATGTCCTTTTAGGGTTTCCAAAGAAGAATATATACTTAACGTTTTAAAATGACTAAACTACACCTAAGGTTTTGCTGAAATTACATACCCTTGCCACCGCCTTTCTGAGTAATTACCAAAGTGCCCTTCCCCCGTCTCTGCACTAAAAACCAAAAATAAAAAAAAAATTGTTGAGCAAGTTTCGAACGCATGTCCTTAGGTAAGAACGCGTTATGCGACTAGCGCTTTAACCAGTTGGGCTATCGCCCATTATGTGTAAATCTAATCATTCCTTTTCATTTTTACTATTTTTAATACGAAATTTCAATTGCGGATTAAGTTAATCCTATTTCTTTTTTAATACATCAAATATCTTCCTAACAACTAAAATTATTATGTTTCTCTTAACAACCTCGTAATAACCAATTCAAATTTTATTAACCAAATCCTTAATACGAGAATCACGATCAGTGGAACGTGGTTATAACTAAAACATAAAAAATTAACGAACTATGTGGACTTTGATCCCATATTATGGGTACGTAGGCAACCACTAATGTTCGAGCCAACTAACTAACAAAATTTATTTTTGAAATGAACGCCACTGGGCATATAATCAAAATTACAAATTAATACGTTAAAAATCTTAAGCGGTTCAGTGGGACCCGAAAAATACATAAAATACACCCAACTCATATAAAACTTATCAACTTAAACAGTAATGATTTAGGGTGTTGTGGGGCTGTTGCTTAACTTCCCCACACGTAACCGTACTCCCGAACCCATATCTCAAAATCACAAACCATGCCTTGGTTCTGACCCCAAGTAAGATCGATGGCGACTCCAAAAGAGAACGCGACCCAAACCCGGAGGGACGGTTTCGACACTTGGCCTAATCGACTAAGGACTACCAAACCTTCACTCTCGAATCGGAATTCGGACGGCCAAAACACAATCAACCCAGGTGCCAACACAAACAAGGAGGGATTCCCTACTTTAACCTAGACATGAGACATGATTTGCCTAAGAAAACCTAGCTTAACAAGCCTCTTTAACAAAAGAGGATTTTCTCTTTACCTAGGTTAGAATGACAAATATATTGATAGGCAAACACACAACACAATCTTCCATGACAAATACCTCCAAATTCCTATTAAAACACACCCACACATAGACAATCATTCCATACAATCAATCACATGGTAGAAGTTAGGGTTCACAAACACCCAAATGAAAAGGGAAACTACTCTATACTAGGAGAGAGAAAAACACAAGGAGAAAGAATAAAAACCATCATGGAGATGCTTGAATCCTCATTGTTTAGAAGAGATCTTCCTTTGGGGAAGATTTTCCCAAACCCTTGCCTTGGAATGAAACCCTAGCTTCTTCTATCTTCTTGCTCGTCACTTTCTCTCTCTAGAATGTTGAAGAAGAAGGTTTTGACTCTGTGGGTTGGTTCTACCTGCTATAGATTGAAATGCACAAAAATGAGACAAAACTCAGCGTAAAACCAAACCTCCTGGAGTAAAAATGCCTCAAACGACTAAGGAAACTGGGGTTAAAAAGTGTACAATTAAGCCCGAATCGCTCCCCCACACTTAGACGTTTGCTTGTCCCCAAGCAAACCATTTTCAACCAAGGTGATATCTCAACCTAACAAAATAACTTGGGGACAAATCAAAAGGCACAAAGTGGTGAATCTCAATGGCTATTGGGCATCAACACATGAACCACTACAAGTAGTACCGACATCCACCACAAATGACATTTGAATGCATAAAGAATGTAGTGAATCTCAATGGCTATTAAGCCTAAATTTCATAAACCATGAAATAAAACGTCTTAACCAAGCCATCCAAATTAACACGAAAATCAAATTAACCAAACTAAAGTTTAATTGCTTTGGTTAATCGGATAATCGGATTAACCAAATAACATAACATTACATGAAAACAATTATCCTATTAATGAATAAAACATAACCATATGTTATTACTATCATAAACTATCATTATATATAATCAATAATAATAAGGCTGACCATCCATGATTATCATCATCATTCGAGTTGATACATCATTCATCATCTTTGCACCTAACATAGTTAGCTTACAACAAACCCTTGGCATAAATATTAAATACATATCAATACCACTCATCCAGAAGTTAAAGTGCTCCTACAAAACACTTAAACTATACATAGTTTGAGGTGGCTATCATGGTATTGTACGTAATCCTAAAGTCTATTAGTTGTCCATAATGTTTTGGTTTAGTAAATAGGCAGGCCCATTTAATTTTTGACCGATAATGCTTTGGTTTGTTGTGCACATGGAAATAAAAAAGGGAATCAGGAAAGTTTGGTTTGGTTGGTTGCATGGAAGTATAAATTATTTTGTATATTAGGTGTATCATTAATTGGTTAATTAGTTTCATTGGTTAGCAGTGTTGAAACCAAACCAAACCACCTAAACCAAATAAGCTAAATTGTTTAACCAAACCAGATCAATTATCCAAATTAACCAAACCAAATTACCGGTTAGTATGGTTACCACGGTAACCAATCCGTTTGAACACCCATACACCCAATCATCTATTCCAATTTCACGAACTTCTATGCAAGGCAATTGTGATCGAAGAGTAACCAAGTCAAGACATCCATTCATTTAAGCACACATGAGAACTAAACGTTTGCACACACCTTATGCAACTCTCAGTCATCATGATAGGATGCACTCGATCACATGAAACAATTCAAGATCAATGCCAAATAAACACGAGATTCACCCACCAACCGGCCATTTTGATCATGCATTGCTTGGAGCCCTCAAAATTTTCAAATTTGGGCATACATCAAGGCTCCAAGCATTCATTCACGCACGCAAGCATAATAATAAACTCCCCCCCCCACAACACACTTAAGCTCGACATTGTCGTCAATGGAGTAAAATAAGGGGTAGAACGATGTTAACGCATGGCTTGGTGAATGAAAGTTGGACAATTTCTGGGGTAGGATGTTTGAGCTTTAAAGAGAAGACAAAACAAAACACACGTGCATTCTCGCTCGAGGCGAGGTTATTACACATAACAAAGTTCCACATCACGATTCAAAGGAAAGAAAAATTCACAAAATACTAGTTCACACACTAAAGAAAGAAAAAAATAAAAATAAACAGGGTTCAGGGTTTCAAGTGGAGAAGTGGGGCAGAAGAAATCGGTTCTGCCACTACCTCGTTGTGGATCCAAGGTCACTGCTCCTCGTCCGAAAGCACGCCCTGGCATCGAGCAATCCTCTCTAGGAGGTCGGTGGATCATTCGAGCTGAGTGGTGACTCCCAAAAACTACTCCTCGAGGCGATCCACACACTACTCGAGGTGGGCTACAGAGGAGGAAAGACCGGCTCCGGATGATGATGATGCTGCTGATGATGGTGGTGCGGTATGTCATTGGCGGCCTAGAGCCTAGGTAGGCGGCTGCTCCGGCAGAGGGACCTCTAGATCAATCCCTCCCTCTCCCTGGAGCACCAACTTCATGTTGTAGAGCGTCTCCACGGGAAATGGCTCAATCCGGCTGATGATGGAGCACCTCGTCACATCAACCCCGAAGTGTCGGGCTAGCCTCGTGATGATGCCCCCAAATAATGCATTGTATCAACTCGATCCCACCCCTGGCATCTGGCAAAGGTGGTGGCAACCACTGATCCTAGATGGAGTGGTTCTACTGGGCAGTTTAGGATATGGAGGGCTATCAATCCTCTGTATTGATCATGTGACCCGACATCAGACTGGGGATGATAGACTTTGTTAGAAGTGTGTGCAGGATCCTCCACGGCTTCCGAAGCTTCACTGCATTGGTGTTGGAGTCCTTGAACTCATCGTCGTGGTGCTCTGGGCGGCAGATGGCCTGGTAGGCTTCCAGGTAGTGGAAGTCTGCTGTGTACTGTGTCTCTGTCATCGTCATGTGTGTGGGGACGAGCCCCATGGCATGGACAAAGCCATCATAAGACAATACATGCTGCTCACCCTCCAACATGAACTCCACGTACGGGTGGCTGCGCTTGCTCCATTGGATGACGTGAGAGAAGGTGGATTAGAACTCCACGCAGAGCTTGCGGTAAATGAGCTTGTCAATGCCAGGAGATGATGTTACTAGGGATGATTGAGGACCTTCGACATCGCCGCCCGACACCTGAACAGGTTGAACATGTCCAGGTCCAACACCCAATGAGGCCCCGCCTCGTTGTACCTCCACTGTTGGAACTTGTACCATATTTCTCGTGGTTCACCAGGTAGTGAACATACGTGTGATCCGCATCAACCATCCTTCATAACATCCAAGACATACACCATACGTGGAATATATCTGCCAATCTCACATCAAAGGGGAGAAAATACCCCCCACACTTAGGATTCCACTAAGGTCCTATCCCTTTGAAGGCCTTCAAGAGAATGAATTTCAAACAATTAAGCTCATTGAGACATGGTTCTGGGTGAATCATGGTTCAGCCAAATTAATACAACAACCCAAACCATGCCTCAATGGTTCTCAACCATCATGCAAACAAGTGTATCAAGTCATTATCCTTATACTACACTTGGTGGGAATTCTCAATCCAAACCGCAAAATCATGCCAAATTCTTCCCACCAAGGCTCAACTAACTTAATCAACACTTCATGCAACATTCAATCGACCCAATATGATATTGCCCTCGCCTAATTTCAACATTCATTCACTAAATTTCAAATTTCCCCTCACCTAAAACCCTAATCCGATTCTCCACGAATTAACAAGTTAAAAGTTGAAAACACACCCCGAAGACTCAAGTAGGATCAAAGGGGAAGGTGAAGAGAGGGGGGGGGGGGGGATTAGGAAAATGCCAGGAAAAACGGTTGGACAGGCTTGCCGGAGCTTCGTCTAAAGCTCGCCGGAAATCACCTCGCCGGAAAGAATGTGCTCCAAATCGCCCCAAATTTATGGCGAAGGTGCTCCCGAAAGTGAGGAGAATGGGTTTGTGTTTGGTTTAGAAAATGGATGACCAGAAGTCGCCAAAATTGATGGAAAGGGGGATTCCGACGAAAACAGAGGATTCCGACGAGGTGGCGGCGGGATGTGAAGATTAGGGGTTCACGCCCCTGTTATAGGCCGAACCCGCAGTTCACAGACGGAGGTGTCAGTTCACGGTCGCTAAGACCGTGAACTCGGGTGAAACAGTGAGTTTCAAAGACTGCTGGATCCACCCTCGTTCACGGTCTCCACCTTTTTATCACGGTCGCTAAGATTGTGAACTGAAAGCAGGAACCGTGAACTGAATGAACACAAGGCCTTTCCAAAAATTTGACTCGATCTACTCAATCCTGCCTCTAATTCAATCACAATACATCCCAAAACACGCAAACACACATACCTTCCATGGTGATATCCTTTTTAACACTTGAACTCTTCACACAAACAAAAGAACAAAAAAAAAAGGAAAAGAAAACAAACTGTTGTTGGGTTGCCTCCCAACAAGCGCTAGTGTAACGTCACTAGCTTGACCTTTCAAACCTATCATGGAGATGCTTGAATCCTTCCTTGTGTAGAAGAGATCTTCCTTTGGGGAAGATTTTCCCAAATCCTTGCCTTGGAATGAAACCCTAGCTTCTTCTCTCTTCTGGCTCATCACTTTCTCTCTCTAGAATGTTGAAGAAGAAGGTTTTCTCACTCAAGGTCTCCTCTCATTTTTCCTTCAGCTCAAACCCCCTTTTATACCCAGGTCGGGCTCAAATCACGGCCCAGTTCACAACCGTGAACTCAAGGCGGGACCAAGATCTCGGGCCAAAACGGGCCACATCACTAACTCAGTTCATGGTCTTACGACCGTGAACTGGCTTGAGTCCAGTGAGAACCAAAATGGCTCTCGACGCCTGGCGGTTCACGGTTTGCGGCACCAGTTCATGGTCTCCCTGACCGTGAACTCACTGCTTCTACCATGATCTGCTACTGCCTCCATCATTTGACCCGATTTTGCGCCTTTTCGTCCAACTTTCGAATCTGGGGTTGGTTCCTCCTGCTATAGACTAAAACAAAAACGAGACAAAACCCAACGTAAAACCAAACCATTCAGAATAAAAATGTCTCAAACGACTAAGGAAACCAAGGGTAAAAAGTGTACAATTAAGCCCGAATTACTGAAATCTCGTATCAGAAACCTAATCTCAGGGCATTGTTGGCATAGATCGGGCGAGGAAATCGGTCTTCAGAGGACAATCGGGAATTGAAGATGATTATTAAAGCATATAATAGTGGTATGACGAGGAGTTGAATTCCATCGTGGTGGGGGAAAGATGAGTTAGAAAATTTTTCTTTCTATAATTGACACCTCACTTATTTAACGTGTCAAATATGATAGTTGAATGCTACATCGGACAAAGTTAACGGAGTTTGGCGGAGAGTAACCAGTGGTTAAACAAAAATGTAGAGTTAATAAGCATTATTGCAATATAACTTTGTTAGAGGTATATATGAAAGAAATTAATAAAATGAGTGACCAAACATGTTATTTAGCCTCCAAATTTGTCTTCTATCCTTCGGGGCACTTCTCGATGACGGTCATACATACATATCTTGGTCCACCTTGATAATATTTTTGAGTCACTTCTTAAAACAAGCTAATAAGGTGGTCGATGTTGTCACCGAGTTCACCATGAATGTGTGCATGAAGAGCATTTGTAACCTTTTTCTGATAATTCCACTTATCAAATCTGATCGAAGAAAAATTGTATAACTTAGGGCTTAACAAATAACAACACTCTAACTTATCTTCTCATTCCAATGTAAAAATAAAACTCACGTACATGCCAAGGAAAAAAAACTGAATAGGTGTAATGTCGACAATTTATATACCACCTAGGACTCCAACAAAAGAGGTGGTTTTCTAACTAGGATGGATTTGCTAGTATGGTGTTTCTTTCTCCAATTGCCCCAGTTTTTTTTTTTTGTCATTCAGTATCTGTAACATCCCGAACTTTTTCCCGACAAAGATATTGTCCACTTTGGGCCCACACCCTCACGTTTTCAACTTGGGGTGCAATTCAAGGTGACTTCCGATAAGGTCACTCATCCTTGTTGTACTCCACACTGAGCACGTTTAACTTCAAAGTTCTCACAAGAACTCCTATATTAGACCCCGAAACGCGTCTTTTTAGTTAAAGATGGTTTCCTACTTATGAACCATGGATCTCTCCCATACTTTGCCGATGTGGAATTTGCCTAAGGTGTTACATACACCCCCCCTCCTTGGGACTCAACGCCCTCGTTGAGGTTTGCCCCACCATCGTTCAAGAGGGACGCGAAGAGCTCTGATACCACTTGTAACATCCCGAACCTTTTCCCGACAAAGATATTGTCGGCTTTGGGCCCACACCCTCACGGTTTCAACTTGGGGTGCAATTCAAGGTGACTTCCCATAAGGTCACCCATCCTTGTTGTACTCCACAGTGAGCACGTGAAACTTCGGAGTTCTCACAAGAACTTCTCCATTACACCCCAAAACTCGTCTTTTTAGTTAAAACTGGTTTCCTACTTATGAATCATGGATCTCTCCCGTGCTTTGTTGAAGTGGGATTTGCCTAAAGTGTTACAATATCCATCAAAATTAAAAATAGCTCGTTAATTTTTTTTATGGCTGATAAATTATTTTTTGTTCCTGGGTGATATATATCGTTAAATTATAATATAATAATCAAATAAAAATGTAAGTATAAATTAAAAAAACTGCGAGTTAGCGGGCCGATGAAGATCCACAGTGTCGTATTTGGATTTTAAATGGGCCTTCCACCATGAAACTTAATTCGTAAGTCAGCCCTGTTGGATCCCCGATAAAAACCACTTTGTTCGAGAAATCGAATGCCATGTCGATCGCGAGAAACGCATACTTGCTTCTTCCTCCTCTCTTCCTTGGCAATTCAGGAGAGAAGAGCTGAAATTAGTAGATCCAGAGGTAAGTTTCTTCTTCTTCAGATCTCTTCCAGCGTCATAGTAATTTCTACAATTTCCTTGAACCTCTATCTCGGCGCGATCTTGTTCCTTCGGTTCTTCTCTGTTGATGCATTCTGAATTTGCAATCTGTCGACTTCGAATTCGTACTGCTCGCTTAGTTTTATTTCGTTTTCCCTCATTCGGTAGGCGAGACGGAGTGGCACTGCGGCCTGTTGAACTGATAATACAGATCTGAGCTTGGCGCTTCTTCAATTATGTAGATCTCTTAGGTTTGGCGATGCGTCCATTAGCATTGGAATTTTCAGATTTAGATTCAATTCAGATTCTTCTGTGATTGATTCAGAGCCCGGTGCTTTTGCAATTGATAAGTTCGTATTGCTGACTGAATTTTCGGTTTCTAGGTTGTGAAGTTGAACTCTCGTGTGTGCGGCATTTATTGGTGTATCTTCGTTCATTGTCCTATCAGTCAAGATGGTAAACTTCACACTTTTTAGTTCTTTCTCTCTTTCATTGGAGGAGCTTTGACCTGAATTGCGTATTTCACTCCATCTCTGTAGGTTGTGCTTGCAGCTTCTATTGTAACCAAGTCTGGGAAAGGTCAGTCTTCTTGTTCCTTTACGTGCAATGTAGTGTTTTTCTTTTCTGCCAGCTTCAGAGCGTCGTCGTTTCGTTCTTAACATGCAGTTCATGCTGCGTAATGTTGTGATCTGCAAGGCACCTTTGTTGTATGGGAAGTTAAATCGAGTTTATGATCCAGTGTCATGTTTTTGAGTTCTTTGCTTGTATAGTGCCAAATCTAATGTGTTTTGGAATATGAACCATGTCCTGAGTCCTGGCTCAACTTTTACTAATGTGTTGAACTGTAAGGCAGCTGTTCATGAAGTATGGGCTATTGAAGTGGGTGTATCTGTATTGCCATTTGTGATAGAGGCTATTGGTAGTGGAAGTGAAACATTACAGTTTCTGGTTGTGTTAACAGTTCTTTGTTTCTGTCCAGTTCTTGTCTCCAGGCAGTTTGTGGACATGTCTCGTATACGGATTGAAGGTCTTCTGGCTGCATTCCCCAAGTTGGTGGGTACAGGAAAGCAACATACATATGTTGAGACTGAGAATGTGCGCTATGTGTACCAGCCAATTGAGCTTATGTACTTACTGCTGGTGACAAATAAGCAGAGCAACATTCTTGAAGATCTTGAGACTCTTCGACTCCTCTCTAAGCTGGTATCCTTCTTCTTCTGGCCTATGTTTTATTTCCTTCAATTTGTTTTTATTTATTTATTTTGAATAGATCCTTCTGTGGCCTTCCTACTGTATTCGACTGTTTCTTCTCAGATGCTCTACTTTGATTACTGATGAACTGGCAAGTCTTTCAATTGATATCCTTAATGTTAAACTAGGTACCCGAGTATGCTATGTCTCTTGATGAAGAGGGTATTTGCAAGACAGCTTTTGAGTTGATTTTTGCATTTGATGAGGTCATCTCTCTTGGGCACAAGGACAATGTAACTGTTGCCCAGGTGAAGCAGTACTGTGAGATGGAGAGTCATGAAGAGAAATTGCACAAGCTGGTGCTTCAGAGCAAGATCAATGAAACCAAGGATGTCATGAAGCGAAAAGCTAGTGAGATTGACAAAAGCAAGGTGCCGTTCAATTTCTGAATTGCACCCGTCAACTTTTCATTGAATACGGTGAATGCTGGTTGAAGTTCTGCTACCATCTTTTGTTACTTTCAGCTTGAAAAGAATCGGGGCGAGAAGGGAGGATTCATGTCTCTACAATCAATGGGCTCTGGAAGAGTCGAGAGTAGCTTCAATGATATGAGTCTTTCTAGCAGTGGGAGTGGTTTTGGAAGTGGTTCTGGGTTTGGATTGAACACTGATGTTGACTCGTTCTCTAACAAGTCAAAAGGTTTGTTTTGCGTCTTGTGACATTGTGCTAATTTTGTGACTGTACTTATTATCCTATCTTTATTTAGGCTGATGAATGTGAATCGTGTTTGTTAGTTGCTGATTTCTGAACAGAAAGGTTTTCATATAGTTGCCCTTTACTTTCAGAACTTTTCTTTGGTTGATGCTCCCTATGCTGCCAATTTTTTCCGTTTGCTTAGTTCACTTAACTCATTTTACTGCATGGTACATTTCTCAACACTTTGCTTGGTCATGCCAGGTCGTCCACCCTCATCTGCTACTGCACCCGCTAAAGGTCTTGGCATGCAACTTGGTAAAACTCAAAGGACAAACCAGTTTTTGGAGTCTCTGAAGGCAGAAGGTGAAGTCATCAATGAAGATGTGCAACCGAGCACAGGTCAAGTAAGAGCTGTTGCAGCACCACTAACTGACCCGATCACTCTTACTGTTGAAGAGAAGCTGAATGTTACACTGAAACGGGATGGTGGAATCAGCAACTTTGATGTTCAAGGACAATTGTCACTTCAGATTCTTAACCAGGAAGATGGGCTGATCCAAGTTCAGGTTTTCTCTCCGTCTTTTCCCCAACTTGTTTTTTTTTTTTTTTTAAATCTCAAAGTTGCCTCCCCTCTGAGCACTTGGGCATGTTTTTCTAGTTGAACATCTTCCCTCTAGGTTGTGATCCATAGTCTTAATAGTTAATACTATATATATCGTCTTTTTTTTTTGGGTGCAACTATATATCGTCTTTCTAGATTTAGTTTAAAGCTTTTTTATATCACTTAACATTTTCAACAAAGAAGAACACTTGCATTTCACTTTGAGTTGGTCTTTTATGCTATACTACAGTTCTGTGTCGCATGAAGCAGCTGTGTCTATCGATTGGTTGTATTATCTTCAGGTTTTACTTATCTGTCCTTGAGATGTAATTATGTGATACGTTTTGACTTTGTTTCGTTCATTCAGATTGAAACTAGCCGGAACCAAGGTGTCATTTTCAAGACTCATCCGAACATGAACAAGGAACTATTTGCAAATGAAAATATTCTGGGCTTGAAGGACCCAAATAGGCCTTTTCCTACTGGTCAAACTGGTGATGCTGCTGGAGTTGGTCTTTTGAAGTGGAGAATGCAAAGTGGAGATGAGTCAATGGTGCCACTAATAAGTGGGTGCTTTCTTGTGCTCCTCTGTTATTTCTTGTGTTGTAGTTCAAACTTATTTTCCTGTACTGATCTACTAGGTCTATTTATATTGCAGTCAACTGCTGGCCCTCTGTGTCTGGAAATGAGACATATGTCAGCATTGAATATGAATCTTCGTCCGCCTTTGATCTGCAGAATGTGTTAATCTCAGTTCCTCTTCCAGCTCTAAGAGAGGCACCACGTGTCAGGCAGGTTGATGGAGAGTGGAGGTAAAGAACTAAATTTTGTTTCTATACTAGGTGATTAAAATGTAGTGGAGTTCTCATATAACGGGAAATGACACCTGTAATAAAGTGTGTTTATCTTGAAAAATACTTGTGGGTTTATTGGAGCTTCTTCTCAAGCAGTAAGCCATAGTAGTGAATCGTCTTCTACACGAAATTGAAAGGGCAGTTAAAAAAAAGGCTGGATGAAAGAGCAGTGCATAATTTTGGATGTTGTGAATCTTTGTGCATGTTAATGTGAATGCACATGTAGTTGTATGAGTGTTGGGTGCCACTAACATGTGTCTTCAAACTTGTAGGTTTGATTCCCGAAATTCGGTTTTGGAATGGTCTATTCTTCTTATCGATAACTCGAACCGCAGGTAATCTTATGTTATATGTCGTTCCTGCTGAAAGTTGAAGAATCCTGGATAGTGTATCCTCAATCTAGTATGGATTTGACCCAGTATTTGGTTTTCACTTTTTTCTTTTTGCAGTGGATCAATGGAGTTCGTTGTACCCCCAGCAGATGCATCGGCTTTCTTCCCCATTTCTGTCCGATTTTCAGCTGCTAGCACATACAGTGATGTGAAGGTGTGTTTTTTTGTGTCCTGCTATCCCTTCTCTCATTTGGGTTTTGTGATAACATACCTAGTACCTACCCTGGCCGATGCTGTAAAAGTTGAAACATCTTAATGCTGTTGGAGTGCAGGTTGCCACTGTCATTCCTCTCAGAGGCGGAGCTCCTCCAAAATTCTCTCAGAGGACGCAGTTGATTACGGAGAATTACCAAGTAGTCTGATAAGATTCACTCCGTCTCACCGAGTCAAATAGTATTACAATTTTTCGGCTTTTAGATGGTGATTTCCTCGGTTTTTGGAAGCTGGAGTAGTGAAAAAAAGTGACATTCATATACGATCCTTAAAGTTTCTTTGTCGATTTTGAGATTGATGAGATCTGGTCCATCTTGGTATCTTGCTTATATTTGTTTTGTTTTCGGTTGTACAAATAGTTATGTGGTGGTAGGATTCTCCATCATCTTGCGAGCATTGTCAATTGAGTCGTTCATATATTTTACTAAGATCAGTAACACTGCTTGTGTAGTCTGATAAGCTTTAAAATTCTAATAATCTCCCAATATTATTGGTGTACTTCCGACTTCCTGGGTGCGTGTTTTTCTAAAGTTGGATTCACAAGGTAAGAAATTAGACATGAAAAGCCCAACCTTGGCGGAGGTCTCTCTGTAGGATGGCAAGTAGAAATTCTAGACTAGAGGGAGATTACCATAGAACAGAAACGACCTGGCTTGGCTGAAAAACACCCGAGTTTATAGCGAAGTTTGAGTGCCTCGCGAAGTGAAGACTGTCATTTGTTATACGTGAAGTGAAGACTGTCATTTGTTATACGTACTAGAATAAATACCCACAGCTAAGGCGCGGGGACTTAAATTACAACAATATCATTTTCTAATCAGTAGTTAGGAGATTGTATCGGTGACTTGCAATGGGAGCAAACATCACACTGAAAACATTACCAAGAGAATGCTCAATAATCTGCCTAAAATGGTCAAAGATAGAGCTTGCATCATACCACAATCCAGTTGCAATTTCATTGTCCGCGTTCTGCACCTGTTGTGCGACAATTCCACACCAACGATGTCTTTCCTTCCTCTGCAGGTTGAGTTTCATCATTAAGAGTATTTCCTTATCCTCAAAATTTTCAAACTTTGATATCGTCAAAAAGCTTGTGATCAGAACTGTGCCACCACAAACATCGTATTTTTTTTACTTTGTTTCTGATCTCATTTCACCTAAATGAGATAAGTGAAAAGATGCAATTCAAACTCAAAAGTAAAAGACAATGGTAAATGACATCAATTCAGTTGCATGTAGAAGAGCATAAAGGTAGAATAATCGTTAAGAACATATGAGGTGTAAAGAAAGAAGATAACCTTCTAAATAATAATAATCAATCATAACTCATAAGCAATACATGAAGTTTTCATTATATCCTTAAAATAACATCTTTTAAAAATCTTCTCCTGAAACTTGATTATGAAGTTGCACAAATCCAACACAGTGACATGAATACATTATGCCTGACAAAATGGCTTCAAAAGATCGCTAAAATCGACAATCAACAGAAGTCATTTATAGCACAATCAAAACCAACTTCCATACTGAAACAGAAACAAATATTTTTCTGTAATCAATCGATCATTGCAGCACAACCTCTTACAATTCAAAATATATAGCAATTTTGGAGTGTAATTGGATGTGTCAAGTTGCTTCCGCAATACAGTGTAGTTGTATCATTGGAGAAACCATAAGCAACTTTGTCAATGTAGGCGATTGCGTATATCCACCCTCAAGCTTCATCTTCCTGTGAATGAATGTTGATACCTGTACCATCCAAGAAAAAGTTAAGCATTCTTTTTCAAACTGCTGTGAATGAATGTTACAAAAAGTTCTTTGCAGAGCATACAGGCCAGTCAAATGATTTGAGTATGCTCTTCCACCGTTAATTCAAAATGTAATAAAAATAGTAAAACATCCATCTCTAATCAAGTTGGGAATTAGGAGCGAAAGAAAATTTCATTAGCAATTAGTGAAAATCAACCCACTTCAGCTAACATATGAGGTCTTAGAGAAAAAGTATACCGTCCGCTATTACCCTACCCAGAAATGACCCTTGATAGAAGTAGGCACTCTATCATATGTCACTTACATTCTTCCAAAAGGACTAAAGGAGCATAAGTCTCAGCCTCAATAAAAAAAAGGACAAATGACTGTCAGACGGGTAGATAGATCAATAAGTATATATGTTATGCACTTGCATCTTGTCTCAACTATTGGAGCTGCCGAGAAAAGTACCAGTCAATGCTTCTCCAATACCTGCTCTTCATCATCAAGGGCCATCTTTCGGGCACCAGAAGTTTCTTGAGAAGGCTTGCTGGTTTTATTCTCTTCCACCACTGTTGTGGTTATCCAAGTGACCAAGGAGAGCCCTCCAAGAGAAGTCAAGGTAGTGCTTAGCTTCTTGTTCCACCATTGTTTTGGGTTTACTAAGAGAATTAATTGCAAGAGTCAGCATGTAAACCTTATTGCAAGTGGTTACTTGATCATAAAAGTATTATCTGTTAAAGTGAAGCGGCAACAGGAGACACAGGAAGTGAAACCTACCAAATGATCCTTGATGCTATGTCTCGTTAGCATAAGCAACCATCTCCCTTGCCTTCTCACCTGCAGTACCAACCATAACAAAAAGAAAGGAACAATAAGCAAGCACCTGAGATCACATCTAAAAGTACAGATAGAGATAATCAATAACAATATCTAAGTCGCAAGAACAATAAGGATGGATGCAAGTTGTGATTTAGAGAATTTTTAAGAATGGAAGCATAATCTATAAGTCAACTTACTGGGTCCAAGATCTTGTTTCCAACAGGGAAGAAAAGAAGAGTGGGGAACCCATCAGACTGCAAAGGGTCACAAAGATGAGAGCAGATTCAGTTTGTTAAAACATTCATAATCAAAGACATGCCTTTTTATACCAAGATTCAACACCTAACTTCCATTTGGTTGCTGAGAAAACAATGGCTAGAAAGATTGTAGAGAAAAGATTGGAACTTTCTAGCCTTACAGCAAAACATCCGTCTATTGTTGTTCACCTAAAAGGGTTAGCTATTTCTTTGAGAGTACCAGAGAACAGAGACTTACCATGGGAATGCAGGGAACTCCATCTCCGGTTTCTCACTCCACAATCCAATCTCCATCTAACCCATTTTTGCATCCCTCTTGAACTTTGAAAAGAAACACACCATAACATAACTAGTATTCAATAGTGGGAACTGTGACGAGGAGAGAGAAATGGACGAACTGGAGAGGAGTGGGGCGGAGCAGATCGCTCTTCCATTTATCAAGAGGAGCATGGTCGGTAGCGTGTTGAGCATGAGCAGAGTGGGTTAGTGAGTGGTAGAGTGGCGTTCCCGGCAGAGAGTTCGAAGGAACTCAGCATGGTGAAAGGACGAAAGGACAAATAGGTGACCCGTTTGTGCATATTTCCCGGTAAGGCCGACTGGGGTTTGTGTACGGAGAGCATGGTTGCTGATTCGACGTAGGTGATGCGGCGACAGCACTGTAAACGGCAACCACTCTGTTGTGTGGAGCTTCCTGCGTGAAGAAATAAAATTCTTTTTTCACTAAGCGACAAAAACTGAAACAGTGGCTAAGAATAGAATCAATACTCGCTGCTCCGCCGCGGGAACTAAAGTTGCTGCAGCAAGATCGTATGGTGGACAAATAAGGTGACGACAAACCGGGGTTATAGTATTATTGGCAATGATGGACAGCCCGAAGGAAATGTGATAATTAGAATCAATACTAATGTGATAATCAATAAACTACTACCTTCTACTTACATAAGCCAAAACAAATTTGTTGGTCTACTCTACCATTCTGATATGCAAGCTTTGGCAGGCATTAGAACAACAATCACTGTATGAAATGCAACTCGAAGGTGTAGCATTTGCAATTCAGGTTTCAAAGCTACAGCCTTAATTAGCTCTTCCACATCCTCCACTTCCTTTTGATCGTCCATAAGCACTGAAAACATAAGAAAGCAAACTTTGGTCAAGTCAAATAAATGAAAGACAGTCAATTAGACAAAGCAAATTGTAGCAGCCACAATAGTGAGTAAAAGCTTCACAAACAAACGAACTTCACGTACCAAACAAATGGCTGGCAAAAGAGGTTCAAAATCCTTGCAAAGAATACAGCAGAAGCTCATTACTTGGATCCAGTACCAACTCGACTGACCATGATATGCAACATTGATATTGTGATTCACTCATAGAGCCAAACTTTATAAACTCTACCAACTCTCCCTCTCCAAGCACTATACCAAACATGAAGATAATGTTAATCATATTTGAGAACATTGAGCAAAATTCTGAAACTAATGAAGAAGATGATAAGTAGAATTCTCACATCAAGTTTGGGTGAAGAACGATAAGACATAAATCTCGTATGTATCAAGTTCACTCTGTGAGATTCATCACCTAATATTTCCAGTCGAGCAATTGCTTCTTGAAAAACATGAAGAGATAATAATAATAAAAAGCAATTCATGACTGGAAAGAAGTTCAGCATTACTTTCGAAAAAACTATTTATCCAATTTCTGTAAATGAAGTAAGCAAGGACATATTTGCAACCCTCCAATCTATAACTCACCCTCTGCAAAAAAAGACAATAATGTTCTTCAAGTTTTGACCTTCCGAACAGGCCAACAGACTAGCATGTCTATCTTTTTCAACTTGTAGATTAGATAAGAATGTTTAGCACTCAAGTCAAAACCTTCAAGTCACACAACAATTTGAAAATAACTTGTATGTACTCATTGTGAGCCATAATTGGTTGGAATTGGAAAAGAATACAAAGAAGGGACCTAAAAAGAAGCATTAGTCAGGATTGAACGGAAGAGTGATATTAATCCTAACCATATCTCTCTGTACTTTGCAGCAGAAGAGTGATACAGAGAGATTAATAAGTGTTTTATGACGTCTTTCAGACTGCTTGAGAGAAACCAATTTGAGGCACTCAACGTCAGTCAATTGCTCTGCAAGTGTTAAAAGAGCTGCATTAGACTGTGAAGTTGAAATGCATAAAACTGAATTGTAAGTCCATACTGTGAAGTTGCGGTGCATAAAACGGAATCAACTGCTCTGGCAAATCTCCACGGATGCATACAGGGATCAACAAACAACTTTCATCATGTTGGTCAAACAAAGTACAAACCTGCAACATTGCAGATCATGGAAGGCCAATATCAGTCACTTTCAAGTGCACGTTTAACAAATAATTCTGGTTAAAGTGAGATCATTCGACATAAACATATATGTTCATTTGCTTGAAAAATCTATACACGCATATCGTAATAAAACCGAAGCTTATGCCTAGTTGTAGAGGTCTTTGGCTCACCTCATCGTTAAAGGGTCAAAAATCTATTGAAAAAGGGGACTAACATATACAGATGGTTTTTTGATTTATATGAAAGGGAAGTGACTTTAAATAACAACACCACCTCATTTCCGGTGCAGTACTATGATCTAGTTTGTTATCCAAATTTGAGAATGCTAACAGGAGGCCAGCATACCATTGCGCAGAAGTAATATTCCATAGTTGAGAGGTAGAATGACAACATTCAGATGAAATGAAAGAGCTGCCACCAGCAAAGAGCTGGTCACGGGCAGTTCACAGTCAATGCAGCAGTGTCAATTCCACTTTAGAACAGGTTTTGGTCGGGAAGTAAAGTTAGTGTCTGGAGGACTGGAGGAGAAGAGTTTACTTTTGGTGGAAACGAAGTATATAGATGGGAAGCTTACCAGAAAACCGGGCTTCATGTTCTCTCTTCTGAACTGAGATTTGATATCGAGTAGTTCAGGTTGTTCCTTCTCGATTGTCAGCAATAGGAATTCGCACAATTTGAGGCTGGGACTCGAACACATTACCAGCCTGTGCTTGATTCCCATTTGTTACTAACTACCAAAAAATTTCCCAATGAAAAGAGTTAAAGAGTTCCCACTGAAAGCTTTGCACTAAGTCTCACTAGAACTATAATAATCATCAAACTATAATCATCAAGCTCTGCTGACATAGATTAAAAATAACATATGCATATACTGTGATGCTGAGGATGCTCAACAGATGGTAAGAGATATTAACAAAGAAAGATGAAAGCAATTTGGAAACTCATAAGTAGAACCTCATCAAATAATTCAAGTATGACCTTCGGCTGTAAGGATGGGGAAGAACTGAAAGGTTGAACAACAAAAGGGAAGTTTACATTATGATGCATCTTGATGGCTTGATTCTGGGCAATGTTTCTCACTCAAGCAAATCAATCTTCACCATATCACATGGAATGAATTTAACAACTCAACATTGAACCATTACATTCAGATGAACAATAAAAAGGTGAAAGCTTCTAAATATGGATTACCTGATCCTGTCAATTCCCGCCAGGATGTTCTTTCACACTGCATTTAGCCTTACTGTAATTTCTTGCTGAGCTGCATAGGAGGGTCGACATAAACTGAGGAATCGATCAAACACATTCCAACTGGACCAGTACCCTAAAATTCAGAAAGCAAAGAGAGAGGGTGAGTAACTGAGAAAAACCAGTTGAGTGAAGCCTCTCCTTTGGCTGAGTTAATCGTGATGAGAAACAAAATAGATGGGGAACGAATCGAAATCACATCCAGGTATAGAGTGAGATCGATTTTTTCTTTCTTGAGAAGAAAATACGGGAGTTAAAAGAGGAGAATCATACCATGTTGTAGAGTGACCGGCAATCCAGCAAGAACCGTCACTTAAGTAAGTCGGCAAGCTGGAGTGGCTTCCATGGGCTTCGGCGTTGTGCAGGTCGACTCCAATGACGCAGACTGCTGCCCTTAATGCCGTAGAGGGAGGCATCGAATCCGATCCTTGAATTCTGCGACAGAGCTTCCCTGAGGACATCAAGACCTACACAGATTTCCAAGATTCATGGTGGTCAGCCGGCCAGAAGAGGTACTTGGTATGAGATGGGTGGAAGAGAGGTTGTGGAAATTGAGAACAAAGAAACAAACGAATGAAATAGCTGTTGTAGCTGAAATTGAATTGGTCCAGGCATAGAAGGGAAGTCTTCTTTTAATCCAGAGTAAGGTGAGGACTGTACGAATGGATGGCCGATGGCGTGTGGAGCAGCTGTGAAGAGTTCACCACTTGGAGAAGCAAACCGTAGTTGTGAGATAACGTGGGATCGATGACTGAATTGCAGATTTTGGGATTGGAGGGATGGAGTACGAAAAGTATGGGCAGTAGCAAGGGAAGGATGGAGGTGGCTGCGAGAAGGTTTTTCCAGTGGTGGCTGCGAGAAGGTTTCTCACTAAAATCCAAGACATGAAACAGTAGCGACAATGTTGACCAATAAAGCGTACCTAGCTTTTATATTTTAAAGAATTAAGGCCAAATACACTTGTATAGCCAAAACTTTGACAGTTTGGTCAAATATAACCACTTTTAGCGAAATACCAAAAATAGCCACTTCCGTCCAATTGTTTGACGGTGTCAAGTAACAGGCTTACTGGACTAACGATATTGCTGAGTTGGCAACTGTTAGTCAATTAAAAATGTGAGGTGGAAACTAAAAATAAATATAAATAAATATTTTTTATTTTCTCTCTCCATCTCTCTTATTCCCCATCTCTCGATTCTTCCATCACCGCTGGAGATCGCCATTTACAAAATCTCCGAACTCGCCATTAAGATAGAGGATGATACTCGAGCCGAGGGAGAAGGAAAAGATTCTGCTTCTGTCTTCCACCTCCTAGAGTTCCCGTTACACCGTCGGTGCTCCCTCGGGTCAATCAATCAAAGGGCATCAACTTTCTCTCGTCGCTGCAAATCTGGGTTTCGGAAGATGGATCTTGAGAGCGTCATTTCTGGGTTTCAATCGAGAAGATGAAGTCAGGGAAACAGAAGATAAAGTCTGGGTTTCAATCGAAGAAGATGAAAAAAAAACCCACCACCCCGATCCCCCTTACCTCCTTCGCCCTTCGTCTCCCCCCAACCTTCTACCTCCTCCGCCTTGTACCCCCACCCCCACCTCCTCTGCCATTCATCTCCATCATCCCTCCGCCCCCAATCCCTACCACAATCCCCCTCTGCCTCTTTTGCCCTTCATCTTCCCTAACCTTCTACCTCCTCCGCCTTGTACCCCCACCCCCACCTCCTCTGCCATTCATCTCCATCATCCCTCCGCTCCCAATCCCTACCACAATCCCCCTCTGCCTCTTTTGCCCTTCATCTTCCTCAACCTCCGCCCACAATCCCACACTTGGTCAGTACCGGAACAAGCCCGACGAACCTGTTTCCTCCGATGGCAGCGTTGCTTCCGATAAAATCGAGGATCTCGGTGCGGGAATTGAGGCGGTTGTTGAGCTCGACGACCTGGGCGAAAAGGATGGAGGATCTCACTCAAATTCCTGGCGGCGGAGGATGAATAGTTCCTGGCGACGGCAGCGGCGTAGGGGAAGCGGTGAGAGATGAATGGATGTCGATGGATTGGGGGGATTGAATTTGGTTTTGTGAATTGATGATTTTTGTTTGCAGATTCATGGTGGGTTTGAATGAAGGAATCGAACCAAAAATGAAAGTGTTTTGGTCGACGGCGGGGGAAACAATGATGGAGGACGGTGAGGGGAAGCAAGGCAATTATTTGAATTTTTTTATAAATAAATTTTTGTTAATAAATTAATTAAATATTTTAAAATATGACGTGTCAGGTGTATGTGGCAAGTATTGGTGAGTTGTCAATGATGTTTCAGGTGAGTTGGCAGCCAGATCATCGTTTCGTTAATTTGACTAATGGTGTCATTGACGCCGTCAAACTATGTAACGGAAATGGCTATTATGGTCGTCAAACTTTCAAATTTCTAGCTATTATTGGTATTTCTCCAAAAATGGTTATTATTGTCACAACTGTCAAAGTCAAGTGTATTTGACCTTTAATTAAAGAACGAAAAGAATGAATACTCAACCACCAAAATTTAAGTTATGACGAGAGGACCCATAAGTGACATGGATAGTATTTGTGGAGAATGTGGCTACTAGGACGATAACATGCCCCAAAGTCGTGGTAATAAGCCCTCTAGATGTATGATGTTCTGCCGATCTGAAACAATCTTACTGAATATGATCTCATCCTATACCAATGCTATGCCAAGTGAATTAAAACTTAAAAGAGATGAGCTCATGAGCATATCAGGACTTCATGGTTTGATAGTTAAAAGTTAAAGTAAAGGGACTAATGTTGTAAATGGACCAAAGTAAAGGGAGCATGGTCGTAGTTTTGCTTTTGAAGGGAAGTTCGTTGATTTAGTTAACAAACCCGTAATATCAGCTGGATGTTGAATCTCTTCTTCCCCTAGTTGCACTGATCTTGATCCGTCCTGTTATTAGTAACGACCAACGACCATGCTTTCAAAAGGAGAAAGGCAAGGAGCGAGTGCGAGTCCGATTGCGAGTCCGAGTCCGAGTCCGAGTTTTAATGGATGTCTCTCTGGCTCTGTCACTACCACATTTCCCCCTTCTGTCAGCACAGTGAAGCGCCAAAGCAACGTTCCTCCCATTTCCACCGTCGCCATTATCCTCAGGTAATCTCATCACTTCGCCGAGATTACTGTTGATCGCAGGCTGTTATGTTTTGATGATCGATCGGTTTGGTTGGTTGAAGGGACATCCAAGAAAGACAGAAACAATGGGGTCAAAAAAGACCGACCCTTTTCTACTGGGGAAGAGCCCCTCCATCAAGTCATGCTTCCCTGATACAAAATCAACGGATGGTTCTGAGTACAAATCTGATCAGAGGTCTTCCCTCCACTTAAGATCATATTCTTGTGATGTGAGGGATCTCTCTCTCCCAAACTTTTCTCCCATGTCTTCCCTAGATCGCTCAGCCAATCTAGTCATGTATGATAACGCACTCTACTCCAATAATCGGAACCCAAACTTGGAGCCCTCGAGTTCCCCTTTCTCAGGAGTGCGGCGAAGCCTAGACATTCAGCTGCCTCGTGCTTCGCCTGCTCGGACCTCCGGGGATCGTAAGGTGGCTGGGTTCGACCCTGTCTTGACGTTGCAGGCCTCAAATGAGAATTCGGCTTTAGATATGAATGCTCCAACTGATATGAAATATGCACAAGGAGCCAAGTTAGGTATGGTTCCAAGAGTAAGCACAGAAAATGTTTGATGCGTGTGAAAACACTTGTGACATTATTGGGTGTTTACGGGATGATGATTGAATCTTTGTGCAGGGGAGAAAAGATTCAAGGGCCATCAAAGACATGTTCCGCTTTACCTAGCTGCACTTAAAGGCGATTGGAGAACGGCCAAGGCTTACCTGCAGTGGCACCCCACAGCTATTCGCGCTTACATCACGAGGGGGCTAGAAACTGCACTTCACATTGCAGCTGGTGCAAGGCACACTGTGTTTGTTAGAAAGCTGGTTAAGAAGATGACAGTAGATGACTTGGCTCTGCAGAACAAGGTAGGGAATACAGCCCTGTGTTTCGCTGCGGTTGCTGGTATCACAGAGACAGCAAAAGTGTTGGTGAACAAGAACAGAAGCTTGCCGCTAGTTAGAGGCAGTAAAGGAGCAACGCCTCTCTATATGGCTGTGCTTTTGGGGAAAAGAGATATGGCTTGGTATCTCTACACTGTTACAGAGGACAATGCTCTTTCTGGAGAGGATCGAATCGGACTTCTTGTTGCTGCTATCACATCTGATCTATTTGGTACTTTGGACCTTATCTTCTTCTATTACTTGTTAAGCAACTAATTTCATGTTGCCGTTTATTACACAGCAGATATACATAGAGAGATATAGATACTAACCATATCTGGAGAACTTCTGTTTCCACCAGATGTAGCTTTGGTTCTGCTCCGTGACCATCCAGAATTAGCTACAGCTCGAGATGCAAACGGTGAATCAGCTCTTCATGTGTTGTGCCGAAAGCCAGGAGCATTTTACAGTGGAACTCAATTGAGCCTTTGGAGGAGATGCATCTACTCATGTTAGTTGGGCCTTCCACCTTCTGCACTATTTACACATTTCGTCGTTCTAACGTGAATCAGTAACATGGCCCCTGCCGTCCCTTGTGATGATGCTATGGGCATCATGTTCCAGAAATCACGTTGTGGTCAATACTCAATCAGAATTGCAAAACCTATATCATGGATCTTTGTATATGCTTTACATGATCAAGATTGCTGAGTACTATTTCATGGTATCTTGAAGGTATCCAGGTGCCATTTATGGGGTCCTCTGGTTCTATACAAGATGCTCGTCTAGCCCGACGCATGCTCCAAGGTACTTTCTCTCTCTATCGCTAGCAACATACACAGAACTCATACAAGTGCATGTCTTTTGACAGGCAAAAACAAATTGAGTCTGTGCGTGCAGTTTCCTTTACTTGGCACCCAAGAAATCAGGGTCAAATTAAACGCACTCAAACCTTAATCTATGACAAACTACAGACTATGTAACCAACTCAAAGAAGTGAAAGTGTTTCCGAAAATATGTAAATATTGCAGCTTTTTGTGCAAGAGAACACTTACCAACTTGCCAGCCTTGTGCTCTTGTGATGACGATTTACAGTCTTGTTTCCTCTTTTGACATCACTAATTTTTGTGCTCTCTTATGACGACATTACTAACAACAAAACCAGCAATAGGAAGAAGTGTCGCCCATCTGGGTAAGTTAGTAGCATCTTCTCATCTTGCTCCCTACTTTCTGTAGCTGAACTGCCTTGACAGACTATTGGAACCTTTCTGCAGTCCCGGATGCTACTCTGATATATAACATGAAGCTGAGTCACACAGAAGCCCTTGAGCTGGCAAAGCGACTTTGGGATCTGGTATTGCATCTAGACAACGCGAGTGTTAAAGAGTTCATCAGAACACCCACACAGTTACTTTTCACAGCTACAGAGGCCGGAATGGTAGAGTTCTTAACCATTCTGATTCGGTCTTACCCCGACCTGATTTGGAAGGTTGACGAACATTCTAGAAGCATATTCCACCTGGCGGTGGTGCATCGACAAGAAAAGGTCTTCACTCTTATCAATGAGATAGGGGCCCTCAAGGATTTTATAGCTATTTATAAGGATGAAGAGAACAATAACATGTTGCATTTGGCTGGGAAGCTTCCCCATCCAAGTCGACTGAACACGGACAATGGTGCAGCTTTGCAGCTGCGACGTGAAATATTATGGTTCAAGGTTTAGATCCAATTCCTTGTGCTTTGAAGCTTGATTCTTCTTTCTGGGTAGCTGTTAACTAAAATGTCCTGACTTGGGTTACTTTCTCTGCAAGCCATGAATGCAGGAAGTGGAGAAAATTGTGCAACCGCTGTATACCGAGATGAAGAATGCAGATGGGAAGACTCCTCACGATCTGTTTGCAACAGAACACAAGAAACTGGCAAGAGATGGGGAGAAGTGGATGAAGGAAACTGCATCTTCTTGCATGGTCGTCGCAACACTCATCACCACCATGATGTTTGCAGCGGCTTTCACCGTCCCCGGTGGAAACGACCAGGAGACGGGCATGCCACTATACCTCCACACCAAGTCGTTCTTGTTCTTTGCTATATCAGATGCACTTGCCTTGGTCTCTTCGGCAACATCCATCTTGATATTCCTTTCCATGCTGACGTCGCGATACGCTGAAGAGGACTTCCTCTCGTCACTACCAAACAAGCTGCTCACTGGGCTTCTCACCCTTTTCATCTCCATCGCCACCATGATGATGGCCTTCAGTTCCACCCTCTTTATGACCCTTGGATATGGGTATACCTGGACTACTGTGACCATCACAGCTGTTGCTTGTGTCCCTGTCACAATGTACGCTTTCCTGCAATTTCATCTCGTAGCTGACATCGTTAGTCATTCTTATACCACCAGTCTCTTCCTGCATCCTAAAAACTGTTTGCTGGGCTGAAAAGAGAACTATAAGCACCATTTTCGAGCATAACATCAAATATGGCCATCACAGTAAAAGTTTATACCCTGTATATAGCAATTTTGATTTGATACAAGTACATAGATTATAGGCACAAATTCAGCATTTTCATAGCGTTCCTCTTCCTTTCTTTGCTCCAACAAACAACAAGCTTTTGAACACAAGAAACTGTGAGCTTCCTTTAAGCTCTGATTCTCTTTCTGCAAGTAAGCTTAATTCTATGTTCTTTCTAATCCAAGCTTCCATCTTGTCCTAAACAATTTAGCCTATAAGCTCTGTAGTCTAGTAAAAACTACTTACTTCCTTCCAACCTTCCATCTTCTACAGCTCCTTTTTGGCTTCAAGTTCCTCACTTTCTTCCACAGCTTTACCTCCTCCGATGTCAGCCACAGATTGCTGATCATTTCGCTTGGACACAATCTGCCCCACCTTAGCATATTTCTCAACGAACTTGTCCTCCCAATCCTGAAGAACTTCAAGCTCGGAGGCGCCCAGGCCTTCAAGATCCGCCGTCAGATCACGAGGGTCAAATGACAAGAGCGCCAAAGCTCTCGCCGCTTCTCTACCGGCGAAGATTCCGTACGGACCCCCTGGCCCGTAGAACATCCTGCACAAAAATTGATCAACCCCCAATTTCAATTTCCGGTACCTGAAACCAATTGAAGTTTTCCGATGAGCCCTAAACGTACCTGGAACGGGAAACGTCGTAAATCTGGCCCTGGATTGCCATCAGAAGTGGCTTACTTGGATCGGAGCCGTTGTAAGCTCGCAGTTCTTCCTCGGTGACATCCCCCAGCTGGACCGGATCGGAAACCGGCGGATGGTCCGTCAGGCTCGGAGGGAGGACGCCGACGCCGTTGACGGTAGGGGGAGTGTTGAACTCGTCGGGTCCGACGAACATGCCGCACACCGTCTTGTAGACCATCACCGAGAGAGCTAGGATGGTGAAGAAAGCAGCCGGCGAAAGGCCGGTGTAGGCGTGGATGGCATCCATCAAAGCTGCGTAGAACCCCATTTGGCTTCTTTGCTTCTAACCGGCGAATAGTGTGCTTTCTGATGGGTCGCCGGCGAGGGAGGTCAAGGGTGTGAAAAACACAAATCAAATACGAATGAACTGAGGAAGTAGGTAGAGCCGATTCGTGGAGCCTCGTTAAGCAAGTGAACGTGCGGATGGGTGGTAAAGATCACCTACCACCGGTAGGCTCAGCTTCGGTAAGTGACATTAGACATGTCAACCTCTCAGCAATGGAGTTTTGCAAGTTATTGGTAAAAGTTTGTACACTTGGAGCATTCAGGGATTCCTAATAGAAGCCTCGAATTGGGTAAATTGTGGAGATTTAAGGGCGTTTGATGGATTTGGTGATGGATTTAGATTTACAATGGACTTTATCCCAAATTCATTATTTCCTTGATGCATTTAGGGGCAATAAATGTGTGGGTTCCAAGAACTTTAAAGGTCCAAATCCGTAAATCTCACCGACTTGAAAGTTCCATCTATTTAGATGGGAATTTATGTTGGAAGACCAAGAAGAATGGTAGTGATCGGAGGGAATAAAATGAACATAACTAACATAAATAGCTAACTAAGATAACATATAAAACTCTGTGAAGTAATTTATTTAACTCTACAAATATAAAAATAAATTTAAATTAACTGAAAATAGCGTTCGCTCGTCGGTGGCAGATAGGGTCCGCCCGCTTGTTTCGGACGGCGTCCGACACCTACTAGCGGACGGGGTAAAATAGACGGAAAAAGACGCATATTATGTCATCGTCGTCGTCCGGCGATGTGATTTGATGACGAGGTGGTCCGCTCGCCGGCGATTATTCCGTCCGACGATGGTGGTTCTGCGTCAGCCGTGGCTTGCATTCGGTTGGGTGGTGGTGTGAAGGTAGGAGTATTTGATTGGTTACAAAAATCTTCAATGGAATAGAATAAAAAAAAATGTAGATGGCAAAAATATAATTTCAATTTAATACACGGGCGACAAATAATAAACACACGAGCGGCAAATAACAACCCTCTAAATCAATCACATCAATGCTAATTCAACTGACACTAATTATATCATGTTCAATCGATGGACTAAGGGGTTGTTACTTCGTTGATTTGAAAAATGAAGGTTTTGGTAAAAGTTGGGTTTTGTAAAACCATGGATGTATGAGGGTTTTAGGTTCATCATGGACTTGAAAAATATCATTGTTTGTTTCATAGATTTCATGATGGAATTGAATAATTAAATTTGTATGTATGAAGTAAAATTTCCCTTTATTGCCCTCATTGGTATGAGAAGAGAAATGAAATAGGAGGGGTAGTTTGGTCTTAAATTATGGACTTCAAAGTCCATGATAAATTCCCATCTAAATAGATGGAACTTTCAAGTCGGTGAGATTTTTGAATGATTGAATGACTTGATTCCTGATCAAATTCCTGTTGTTTCTGCTTTAACCTAGAATGAGAATATCTGCCTAGGTTGATAGAGCATCCTAGATTGAAGGTAGGGAGTTGGTGACTTTAGTCGAGGAGCCAACTCACTATTCTGTACCGGATTTACTCCGGTAATGGAGGTTTTGTTTGTTAAGGCCTCAATCTGTTTACTCCGGTGGAGGTTAGTCGCCCGCTAGAGACTCAGATTGAGAGGGTTTGAAGACCTTTAGTCGAGACTTCAGGCTGTTTAAGAACCTTCCGCAGTATAACTATCATAGAAACTGAACTTGGTAATTACAATCCGGCTTAACTGCAGTCTAGGGGGAACCATATCCGGGTGACCTCTCTTAACCTGAATACAACCGTTTACTTGCTTTGTTAGTTTGTTAGTTTGTTAGTTTAGACTTGCATTCCAGTTTCATTGCTAGATAACAAGAATTCACTGAGTAGTCATCAAATCTAGGACCCGGGTGGATAATTAAACCCAAACCCGCTATACTACGCTTTAGGAAGTGGTTACACTTGGCCAATTCCTAGGGTGATAGTAGAAGTGAGTCAAGTTTTTGGCGCCGTTGCCGGGGACGGCTAGGTTGTTGAAGAAAAGTGATTTCTGTTAATTTAGCTTTTCTTTTTGCTTTGTCTGCTTTGTCCCACTTGTGCCTTCACGGGTTTGCTTGCTTGATTGTGTGCAGGTAGTGCATGACCCGTAGCCAGTCGGGAGGTTTACTGCCGTTGAATCCAGAGATTGAACGCACCTGTCGCCAACTCAGGAGACATAAGCGGGCTAGACTGGCTACGCAAGAGCGCATAGACGGCCATGTGAGCAGTGATTCTGAGGAGGAGTACAAGATGGAAGACTACAATCAACACCAGGGGAATCCTCAGCAGGCTCTCTCGGTGAATCAGGTCCTGGGGAACAACCCCATACCCCAGGATCATGGGGTTCATCATCATCACCCGCCGCCGGGTCCCACCTTGGAGTACTACTACACTCCGCGATTTGCTGACATCCGCCCGGTCATCCTCTACCCGCCTATTCCAGCAAACAACTTCGAGATCAAGCCATGCTGGATTCAGCTCATTACATCCTCTATCCAGTTCCATGGCTTAAAGGATGAGGAGGCCAGGGTACATCTTTCCCATTTTCTGCAGCTGACGAACGGGTTCAAGCTGAATGGTGTCCCGGATGATGCAATCCGCCTTCATCTCTTCCCCCATTCTCTGGCAGGGAATGCTAAGAGGTGGTTGGAGACCCAGCCCCCATTGTCCATCACCTCTTGGGAAGATCTGGCTGACAAGTTCGTGCACAGGTACTATCCGGCATCGAAGACTACAGAGATCCAGCGGGAGATCACTCACTTCTGCCAAGAGCCAGATGAGTCACTTCGTGATGCTTGGGAGCGGTACATGGGCTATTTCTGGCAGTGTCCCCATCATGGCTTCAGTGATGCATTCACAGTGGGGAACTTCTACAGTGCCCTCTCTCCAGATAGCCAGAGGGTGATTGAGTCTCTATGCCCAGGAGGGGATATTCTTACTAAGACTCCACCCGAGCTGAACCAGATGATCAGTACTTTGGCTGCCAGAGATCATTCTTGGGGATAGGGTAGCCGAGGCAGACATTCCCGGGATCGTGGTGTGCACGCCATGGAGACCAGATCCGGGCTTGAGCAGCAGGTAGCTGAGTTACTGCAGACATTGAAGCAGCCCAACAGTCTGATTCCGGGCAGAGGTTTGGCTACACCTCCAGTAGCTCAATGTTAGTGGTGCGAGAGCTCCAATCACCTAGTGGAGGACTGCCAGGCTATGAGGGAGTCTACCACTCCCCAAGAGCAGTTGGACTTCATCGCCAATGCTCGGCGCCTCGACCCGTACAGCAACACATATAATGAGGGGTGGCGCCAGCATCCCAACTTCGCCTGGAGCAGCAACACCACTAAACCACCTGGTTTCCCAGCACCAGCAGGTGGTTTTCAGCAGAGGCAGCCCTTCCAGGCGCGACAGGGGCCAGCCCCACAGCAGCAGCCCTACCAGCCTAGGCAGGGGCAACCATTCCAGCAGCCCCAGCGCCAGTTTGCCGAGCCAGCAGCAGCCCCTGCCCCAGATGATCGGATGACAAAGCTGGAAAATATTCTAGCTTCATTCATGACTAGCACTCAGGCTGCTATCACGTCACTAGAGGGAGGTCAGCGGAACCAGGGTGCCATTTTGCAGGATCTGCAGACCCAGGTGGGCATCTTGGCCCGCCAAAACACTACCAGGGCACCGGGGACTCTACCTGCCACCACTATCCTGAATCCTCGGGATCCTCACCAGCTCCAGCAGCTGGATGCCATTTTTACCAGGAGCGGTAAGACCATATCTGCTGATCCTGTCCCGGCCAGACAGGAGGAACCACTACCTGCTTCAGCACTTCCAGCCGACGATGCAGAAGTGCGGGTGGAGAAGGAAGCCCCTACTCCCAAGCCACAACCAGTGGTTAAGGAGCATGTACCCCAGCTTCCCTTACCCACTCGCCTACACAAAGACAAGCTGGAGACTGAATTTGCCAAGTTTATGGCAATGTTGAAGCAGCTGAACATCAACATACCGTTCGTGGAGGCACTGTCGAAGATGCCCAAGTATGCCAAGTTCATGAAAGACCTCCTTACCGACAATAAGAAACTTGGGGATCTTTCGACAGTGATGCTCAGCGAGGAGTGTTCTGCTATCCTGCAGAACAAGCTGCCCGAAAAGCGCAAGGATCCAGGGAGTTTTACTATCCCTCTTACTATTGGCAGCATGCATGTAGGCAAGTCCTTGGCGGACCTAGGCGCTAGCATAAACGTCATGCCATATAAGTTGTATAGAAAGCTAGACCTAGGTGAACTTAGCCCTACTAGGATGAGCATTCAGCTAGCTGATCGTTCCATTGTGCATCCTAGGGGAATCATAGAGGATCTGCTTGTCAGTGTCGGTGCATTCACATATCCTGTTGATTTTGTTATTCTTGATATACATGAGTATGTGGATGTACCTTTGATTCTGGGTAGACCATTTCTTGCCACCGCCAAGGCACTTATTAATGTGCATGATGGTAAACTGATCTTGCGTGCTGGGACTGAATAGGCTACTTTTTCTGTGACTGAATTCGATCACTGTGCTATGATTGCTGTCACGCCTGTACATGCCATTTCTGATCAGGTACACGAGCCGGTCGTGTATCCTTTAGCACCTCTTATTTTGCAGGACCCTCCTATCATTCCTTCGTGCCACTCCATCCAGCCTTGCCTCCAAACAAAAAGATCAAGGAGGAGTGGCGGCCGAAGCAGCAGGTTGCCAAGCCTGCACGGAAGAAGGGTGGAGACCACTACGAGCTGGTCCCACCTCCTGCACCACGACCACCCTGGCCGTCCGGGTACTCACTCGCCTGCATCTTGCCGGATGGCCAGGTCGAGCTGACCGATGATGGTGGTCGCATCCGTCGGGTGCATGGCCACAACCTAAAGCTGTACCTCAAGAGCGACGTGGATCCGCTCTTGGGGGCACCTGTTCCTGCACCGCCCTGAGTATCCACCATGGGCGTCCAGCTACACGACGGTAAAGAAGCGCTTGTGGGGAGGCAACCCCACCACGGTTTGATTTTCTTTCTTGTGTTTTGCGTCGGATTGTAAACCAGTTTTGTTTTGGTTTGTTTTCTTTTGTTTTGGATGATGTCTTATTGGGCTGACATTGGACCTAACATATTGTGTTTGAGCTCTTTGGTTTCCTTTGGCTGTACTTGTCTTGACTGGTACTCTCTCCAGTCCGCTTCCAGTCTCCTGCAGTCCGTGCATACCGGTAACATCGTTCCCCTTTCCCTTCCCTCTTCTCCATTGAGGGCAATGTCGATCTTAAGTGTGGGGGATGTTTATCTTTAACTGCATTAGATATGTTTGTGTGCTTGGAGCCTAGTCCACTGTCCAAATTTTTAAATTTGAGGGCTCCAAGTACGTGTTCCGTGCAATTGCCTGCTCAGTATGCTTTGAATTGACAGTCTTTATAGTAATATGCAACCTAGGGAGGTAGTGTAGCACTATGGAGGATGTTGATGCATTTAAGAAGTCTCGTTTCTTCTTCATATTGTGTTGATTGATTGAGTGAATTAGTGATCTTAGGACCCTTGAATTGTGTGGTGTTGTGGATTCTCTACCTGTCATGGACTCTTGTATCATGTTTTGGGTTTAACAGGTGCTCGAAAATGTGCTTCAAAATAACGTCTCCCGTGCGAATAGGGCGAAAGTGTGTAAGGGGAGACGGGAATTCGTTCCCAATTTCCACCTACTACCTCCAGCCCCCTTACATGTCTTTCCCCCGCACGAGGCTCGAGACATCCACTCCTGGCATGGCCGGTAAGAGCAGGTTGGGACCCTTGAAAGAAAAAAAAAAGAAAAAAAAATAACAGAAAACAAGCAAAACAGAAAGAAAAGGGGTTCCAACCATCTTCAAGAAGAAAATAGAGCACCTTGAAAAATGTGAGTCCATGATTCTTTGTTTTTGAGAATCTCTTCATCCACAATTCATTTGTCCTCTGTTCACTGTTTGCCATGATGCCGACTCGATACTAGTGCTCTCGCCGAAGAAGCTATGAGATGACTTATGCGTCGGTTGACCTCGTAAGCTGCTAAATGATCTAGGAAGTCCTCTACCAACGATCTGGGTTGTTTGCTGCTATAGAGGTCTGGAGAGTTGCATTGGTTTGAGTTAGGTTTGCTTGGGGACAAGCAAACGGTTAAGTGTGGGGGAGTTTGATAGACCGTTAATTACACATGTTTTCACCCCTGTTCTTACACCGTTTGAGATGTGGTTTCTCGTGTTTTACACCGATTTCACGCTAGGTTGTGCTTGTTTGTGATATTTCAGGTCCTGGCAAGTGAATGAAGGTTTAGGAGCGAGTTCGGGGTCGATTGGGCGAAGATCGGGCGCGAGACAAGTCACAAAGGAGGTCACACGGGCACACTCACAACTCACACGGCCGTGCAAGTGACCACTTTGGCCATGTGAGATTGTGCGAGAGCAAACACGGCTTGCCCTGATGTTCACACGGCCGTGTGAAGGAGTGGTTTGGCCGTGCGAGTTTCGCCGAGAGCAAACACGGGCAGATGGAAATCTCACACGGCCGTGCGACCCTGGCCGTGTGAGAAGCCTGAAGATCGAACTAATTGGAACGCAGCGTTTTGACTCACACGGGCAACTGGGTAAGCCACACGGCCGTGCCACCCTGGCCGTGTGAGTCGGGATTTTCTGCTTTTAAGCAGATTTTCAGCCACAAGTCGAGGGGATTCGAGTTTTTGAGAGAGAGAACGATTCCTAGAGAGAGAAAGCGACGAACAAGAGTCTCCAAGTGCCCTAGCTTGATCTTCAACACCATTGGAGGCCAGTTTGAGCTTGGAGAAGTGCCGATCAACGTCCAGGAGCAGGAATCCATCCTTCACAGTATGAATTCCGCGTCTGATTCTGCTTTTGCTTCTTTCTCCATGGAGTAGTTCTCCCATTCATCTGGGTATGGAGAACCCTAGATTTGTATGTTAGGCTTTGATTGTATGAACCCAAGTACTGATTCTATGATTTGATTATATTCGATTGAGGTTTGAATGATTGAATGACTTGAATCCTGATCAAATTCCTGTTGTTTCTGCTTTAACCTAGAATGAGAATATCTGCCTAGGTTGATATAGCATCCTTGATTGAAGGTAGGGAGTTGGTGACTTTAGTCGAGGAGCCAACTCACTATTCTGTACCGGATTTACTCCGGTAGTGGAGGTTTTGTTTGTTAAGGCCTCAATCTGTTTACTCCGGTGGAGGTTAGTCGCCCGCTAGAGACTCAGATTGAGAGGGTTTGAAGACCTTTAGTCGAGACTTCAGGCTGTTTAAGAACCTTCCGCAGTATAACTATCATAGAAACTGAACTTGGTAATTACAATCCGGCTTAACTGCAGTCTAGGGGGAACCATATCCGGGTGACCTCTCTTAACCTGAATACAACCGTTTACTTGCTTTGTTAGTTTGTTAGTTTAGACTTGCATTCCAGTTTCATTGCTAGATAACAAGAATTCACTGAGTAGTCATCAAATCTAGGACCCGGGTTGATAATTAAACCCAAACCCGCTATACTACGCTTTAGGAAGTGGTTACACTTGGCCAATTCCTAGGGTGACAGTAGAAGTGAGTCAACAGGCTACTTTCTCTGTGGCTGACCCTGATCATTGTGATATGCCTGCTGTCAAACCTATGCATGCTATTTCTCACCAGGTACACGAGTCTGTTGTGTACCCCCCTGTGCATCTCATTTTGCAGGATCCCCCCTCACGCCTGCGCCGCCACTCCCTTCAACCTCACCACAAAAAAAAAGGATCAAAGAGGAGTGGCGGCCAAAGCAGCAGGTGGCTAAGCCTGCACGAAAGAAAGGTGGAGACCACTATGAGCTGGTTCCACCTCCTGCACCACGACCACCTTGGCCATCCGAGTACTCACTCGCCTGCATCTTGCCGGATAGCCAGGTCGAGCTGACCGATGCTGGTGGTCGCACCCGTCGGGTGCATGGCCACAATTTGAAGTTGCACCTCAAGAGCGATGTGGATCCGCTCTTGGAGGCACCTGTTCTTGCACCCCGCTGAGTATCCACCATGGGCGTCCAGCTAAAAGACGGTAAAGAAGCTCTTGTGGGGAGGCAACCCCACCGCGGTTTTCATTTATTTCTTTTGTTTTGAGTCGGATTGTAAACTGGTTTGATTTTGGTTTGTTTTCTTTTGTTTTGGATGATGTATTATTGGGCTGACAATTGGACCTAACGGATTGTGTTTGAGTTCTTATGTTCCCTTTAGTTGTGCTTTGTCCCTGACTGGTCCCCTCTCCAGTCCTCTTCACACAGACTGGTCCGCTTCCAGTCTCATGTAGTCCGTGCACACCGGTAACATCGTTCCCCTTTATCCTTCCCTCTTCTCCATTGAGGGCAATGTCGATCTTAAGTGTGGGGGGGATGTTTCTCTTTTGACTGCATTAGATCTGTTTGTGTGCTTGGAGTCTAGTCCACTGTCCAAATTTTTAAATTTGAGGGCTCCTAGTACGTGTTTCCTTGCAAATTGCCTGCTCAGTATGCTTTGAATTGACAGTCTCTATAGTAATGTGCAACCTAGGGAGGTAGTGTAGCACTATGGAGGATGTTGAACTATAAGATTTTTCCTATCTAGCTCTCTGCTGTGCTAGTTGATTTTGTGAATTAGTGGAGCTAGGACCGTTGAATTCATGTGGTAATGGTGACTCTATTTGGATTGTGTTATGGACTCGTGTATCGAACAGGGTGCTCATGTGAAAAATGAAATGTAGTTCGTCCTCCATGTCAAAATCTTTAAATCTTAAACATGGGCTAAGCCCAACGTGTGCGGCACCGTTCATTGCACCAAATCGGGTTTTGGAAGAGATTTTAGTGATCCTTAGTGGGGTACTCCTACAAGGTGAAGCTAAGCTGTCTCTAGTACAAGTAAAACTTCCACCCGTTGAACGGTTTGCCTACTTGAGGATGTGTTTTTAAGGGCACGGATAGAGCTTCCGACCCCCCTTAATTTCATTGACCCTCCACACGAGTTGAGAAAAAGGAGTTAAAAGAAGTACTATGGCGAGCGCCAGATGTATAGAAATTGCTCTTGCTCGACTAATAAGGGTCGACCGTGTAAGAGACTGTAGTTGGAACCCCCGCCAAGTGAATGAGAAAAAATGAAAGTGAAAAAGGGGTTTCAACGGTGAAATGAAGTAAAAAGAGCACCACGGTACAACGAGTCCTTGGTTGAGAATGATATGAGTCCCTTTATCCATGAACTGACTGTCTTACTTCTACTTCTTCTCATGATCCTGGCTTGAGTCTAGTACTCGCATTGAGAGAGATAGGGAACGTCTTAGAAGACCAGTTGACCTCGTAAGCTGCTATATGATCTAGAAAATCCTCTACCGACGATCGGGGTTGTTTGTTGCTATAGAGGTCTGGAGAGTTGCATTGGTTTGAGTTAGGTTTGCTTGGGGACAAGCAAACGGTTAAGTGTGGGGGAGTTTGATAGACCATTGATTACACATGTTTGTACCCCTATCCTTGAGCCGTTTGAGATGTCGATTCTCGCGTTTTAGGCCGATTTCACGCTAGGTTGTTCTTGTTTGTGATATTTCAGGTTGTAGTACGTGAATGAAGGTTTAGGAACGAGTTCGGGGTCGATTGGACGAAGTTTGGACGTTTGGCGAGAAGCTGAGAAGCCATACGGGCATGCCTAAAAGCCACACGGCTGTGTAGGGGATCCCTGATGGCCGTGTGGAAATTCTAGGGAACTCACACGGGCACCCTGGGAACCTACACAGCCGTGTGGGTCGTGGCCGTGTAGGAAGCCTGAAGCCACTTATCAAAACGCTGCGGTTTGCACAACTCACACGGGCAGCTGGGGATGTCACACGGCCGTGTGAGTCGGGATTTTCTGGTTTTAAGCCAATTTTCAGCAGAGGAGAAGAGAGTTCCGAGTTTTAGAGAGACAGAGCGATTCCTAGAGAGAGAAAGCGACGAACAAGAGTTCCCAAGTGCCCTAGCTTGATCTTCATCACCATTGGAGCCCGGCTTGAGCTTGGAGAAGTGCTGATCGACGACCAGGAGCAGAAACCCATCCATCACAGTATGGTTTCCGCATCTGAATCTGCTTTTGCCTCTTTCTCCATGGAGTAGTTCTCCCATTCATCTGGGTATGGAGAACCCTAGATTTGTATGTTAGGTCGGATTGTATGAACCCAAGTACAGATTCTATGATTTGATTATATTCGATTGAGGTTTGAATGATTGAATGGCATGAATCCTGATCAAATTCCTGTTGTTTATGCTTTAACCTAGAAAGAGAATATCTGCCTAGGTTGATAGAGCACCCTTAATTGAAGGTAGTGAATTGGCGACTTTAGTCGAGGAGCCAATTCACTATTCTGTACCGAATTTACTTCGGTAGTGGAGGTTTTGTTCGTTAGGGCCTCAATCTGTTTACTCCGGTGGAGGTTAGTCGCCCGCTGGAGACTCAGATTGAGAGGGTCTGGAGACCTTTAGTCGAGACTTCAGACTGTTTAAGAACCTTCGCAGTATAACTATCATAGAAATTGAACTTGGTAAATTGCAATCCGGCTTAACTGCAATCTAGGGGGAACCATATCCGGGTGACCTCTCTCGACTTGATAACAACTGTTTAATTGCTTGCTTTACTTGTTTGTTTAATTGAACCTGCACTAAAGTTTCACCGCTAGATAATAAGAATTCACTGAGTAGTCATCACATCTAGGACCCGGGTTGACATTAAAACCCAAACCTGCTATACTACGCTTTAGGAAGTGGTTACACTTGGCCATTTTCTATAGTGACAGTAGGAGTGAGTCACTGGCATCGCAACTTGTTCATTGGAATGATGAGGTTTTTGGGGATGTTAAGCAGCGGAAAAGAAGATTGTCGGCGAGAATTAAGGGGGTTGAAAATAGGCTGGCAGTTGGTTTCGTTCCCGGTTTGCCCAAGCTTCACTCCAAGTTGTCGAGAGAGTTGGACAAAGTGCTCGAGCAAGAAGAGCTTATTTGGTTTCAGCGCTCCAGGGATAATTGGGTTAAATTTGGGGAGAGAAACACTGCTTACTTTCATCAGCTGGTTAATATCCGGCGACATTTCAACAAGATCGAGTCTCTCCTTGACGACAATGATGTCTGGGTGATGGATTCCCACTCTCTTGCCATCCTTGTTTTTAATTATTTCACTAATATTTATCTCCAGGAGAGCTCCCTTTATGAGGATAGGATGCCGAAGGGCGCGTTCCCTCGGTTGAGTCACACAGAAGCGGTAACTCTTTTCATACCGTTTGATATCCAGGACATTCACAAGGCGGTATTTGACATGAAGCCGTTTCAGGCCCCCGGCCCAGATGGTTTCCAGACCGTGTTTTATCAACAGTTCTGGCAGGTGATAGGGAAGTCTCTATTCGATATGGCTTTGTCTTTCTTTATGACAGGTACTCTGCCTGAGGCGGCGACGGAGTCCACGCTAGTTCTCATTCCTAAAGTGGACTTGCCGGAGAGGGTTACTCAGCTTCGCCCCATCTCTCTCAACAACGTCTATCTCAAGAGTATCACAAAGGCCATGACCTCGAGACTAAAGCCCATGATGCGTAAATGGGTTTCTTCGAGGCAGAGCAGCTTCATTCCAGGGAGGCAAATGATGGACAACATCATTGTAGTCCAGGAAGTTTTACACTCCTTCAGGAAAAGAAGAGGAAAGAAAGGAAGCATGGTGTTTAAGATCGATTTGGAAAAAGCTTATGACATGCTGCGGTGGGATTTTCTGAGGGACACTTTGAAGGAAGTTGGCTTGCCGAGTAGTTAGATTAGCTGCATCATGTACTGTGTGGAGCATAACACCATGAGGATTAGATGGAACGGGGAGTTGTCTCAACCGATCACGCCATCTCGAGGAGTTCGTCATGGAGACCCTCTTTCTCCCTATCCTTTTGTTCTCTGTATGGAGCGACTTTCTCATAAGATAGATGAGGCGGTCAATGATGGACTGTGGAAAGCTGTGAGGCTTACTAGTTCTGGGCCGCCATTAACTCATCTTTTCTTTGCAGATGATTTGTTGCTTTTTGCAGAAGCGGAAAGAAGGCAGATTGGGGTCATCAAGAAGTGCTTGGAGGACTTCTGTCATAGCTCGGGCCAGCGGGTGAACTTGAGCAATTCCATCATTTATGTCTCTCCGAACATCGCAAGGCATAAAGCGGAAGCACTTAGCGCGTATGCGGGGATCCCATTGAAAGCAGCCTTGGGAAGATACCTTGGCATCCAGGCTATCCAGGAGAGGGTCACGAAGGGGAGATACCAGTCCCTTATTTTGCGCATTCAGAAGAAGATGGCGCAGTGGAAGGCGAAACGGCTGTCATTTGCCGCTCGACTTATAGTTGCTAGATCGGTAGCTGCTTCTTTACCCGTCTATACTATATATACAGAGTTAATCCCGAGTGGTGTTTGCAGGAGTATTGACAAGATCATTAGAGATTTTATTTGGGGAGACGAGGAAAATCATTCCAAGTTTCATCTGATGGCCTGGGAAAGTCTGACGAAGCCCAAAGCGCAAGGGGGAGTAGGAATTCGGCGGACCCGGCAGGCTAATTTGGCCATGCTAGCCAAGGGAGAGTGGCGGCTTCTCAGGGATAAGGAGAGTATCTGGCGGCAGCTTCTCCTCTCGAAGTATGGGGGTCAGAGAGCCGATCTTGATGTCCTGCGGAAAGTTCAGGGAAGTTCCTTCACCTGGAGTAGCTTCTCTAAAGTCGCTGACCTTCTTAAGCAAGGCTGCGCGTGGAATATTAGAAATGGGAGGAGAACTCAATTTTGGTCTGACCCGTGGGTTTTGCAGGTGCCCTTGAAGGATTTGGTGATCGGAGAGGTACTGGAAGATGCAGGTGAGGCGGTGGTTGCCGATTTTGTTGAAGCGGACGGCATTTGGCGTATTGAGCTTCTCTCGGGGCGCCTTCCACCCGAAGTTATCAACAAGATTACGAGCACAGCGGTAGATACTATCTCCCAAGAGGAGGACTCTCTTTTCTGGGCTCCAGCAGCAGATGTTCGTTTCTCCACTAAATCAGCTTATGCACTCCTCACGAAGCAAGACCAACAGGACACTGACGGTGTGTGGAAGGAGATTTGGCGGCTGCCAGTGCCTGAGCGTGTCAGATGCTTTATCTGGTTGGCGATCCAGGGCAATATAGCCACGAATGTGCTGCGTTTCCAGAGGAAGGTAGCAGTGTCGGTGTGCTGCCAGAGGTGTACTGAGCAGCCGGAGACAGTGCTTCACATTCTTCGAGATTGCGCCCCGGCGGCGTATTTTTGGTGCCGACATGTCCCCCAGCAGAAGCAGCACGAGTTCTTCAGTGACAGTCATGAAGGCTGGTTTCGTAAGAATATCATGAGTAAGGAGACCAGCAGTATGGGAATCGATTGGTCGGGATTCTTTAGCATGGCCTCTTGGTTGTTATGGAAGAATCGCACCACGGCATCCTTTAAAGGGTTGAGTGCAGCTCTTTCAGCTTCTTCTCTGGCGCATTCGATCGTGAGTAAGGCCAAGCTGTGGAATGAATCTTGGCATGCCCCAGAGCTGTTTCTAAATCACAAGAGGAAGCCAGTGGAGCGGGTCGTGGCGGCGATTGGTTGGACTCCGCCGTTGGAGGGCTGGGTCATGCTTAATACTGATGGAGCATCGAATGGTAATCCAGGTCCAGCCGGAGCATGAGGGATTGTGCGGTACTCAATGGGCAATTGGCTGGGAGGCGTCGTTGCTAACCTCGGATCTGTGACGGCTGTTTTAGAGGAGTTATGGGCCATCTGTTATGGACTGGATTTGGTTTGGAACCTGACTCGACTCTACTATCACCCTAGGAATTGGCCAAGTGCAACCACTCCCTAAAGCGTAGTATAGCGGGTTTAGGTTTATATGTCAACCCGGGTCCTAGATGTGATGACTACTCAGTGAAATCTTGTTATCTAGCAATGAAACTGGAATGCAAGTCTAAACTAACAAACTAACAAAGCAAGTAAACGGTTGTATTCAGGTTAAAGAGGTCACCCGGATATGGTTCCCCCTAGACTGCAGTTAAGCCGGATTGTAAGTACCAAGTTCAGTTTCTATGACAGTTATACTGTGGAAGGTTCTTAAACAGCCTGAAGTCTCGACTAAAGGTCTTCAGACCCTCTCAATCTGACTCTCTAGCGGGCGACTAACCTCCACCGGAGTCGACAGATTGAGGCCCTAAGAACAAAACCTCCACTACCGGAGTAAATCCGGTACAGAATAGTGAGTTGGTTCCTCGACTAAAGTCACCAACTCCCTACCTTCAATCAAGGATACTCTATTAACCTAGGCAGATATTCTCATTCTAGGTTAAAGCAGAAACAACAGGAATTTGATCAGGATTCAAGTCATTCAATCATTAAAACCTCAATCGAATATAATCAATCACAGAATCAGTACTTGGGTTCATACAATCAAAGCCTAACATACAAATCTAGGGTTCTCCGTACCCAGATGAATGGGAGAACTACTCCATAGAGAAGAAAGCAAAAGCAGAATCAGACACGGAATTCATACTGCGAAGGATGGATTCCTGCTTCTGGACGTTGATCGGCACTTCTCCAAGCTCAAGCTGGCCTCCAATGGTGTTGAAGATCAATCTAGGGCACTTGGGAACTCTTGCTCGTCACTTTCTCTCTCTAGGAACTGATCTCTCTCTCAAAAACTCGAATCCCCCTAAATTGTGGCTAAAAATCTGCTTAAAAGCATCAGTGGCCAAAGCACGGTCGAGGGCACGGCCGTGCTTTGCCTGACTCCGCCCGTGTCTCGGCCAAGGTTTAATTACACGGCCAGCAGCTGGTGGAAACACGGCCGTGCTTTGCGATGGACACGGCCGTGCTTTGACTGAACACGGCCGTGCTTCAGTGCCCGTGTCTGCAACTGAATTGGCCAAACCAAATTTGCTCTCGGCATAAAAAGCACGGCCAGCAGTACACGGCCGTGTAATGCCTTGGGTCTGCCCGTGTTTTGGCTCCTGCTCACCGAAATGACTTCCGAATGCCCCGAAACTCGCAGTTAGCCTTCCCTTTAACGCCTGGGACCTGAAACATGACAAAATAGCACAACCCGGTGTAAAATAGGCCAAAACACACGACTATGCCCCTCAAACGGATAAGAACTAGGGGCGCAAATATGTGCAATTACATCGTTATCAGAACCTCGGGTTTCGAGTAGTAAAGATTGCCACGGATTCCCAGCTGGCTATCCAACTGATTCAGGATAGACATGATCCCATTCATCCTTATGCCATGCTTATGAGTCTCATTCAGAGAAAGATTGGGCAAGATTGGTTGGTTAGCCTGTCTCATACGTACCGGGAAAGGAATAGAGCCACGGACTGGCTCTCGAAGCACAGTCTCGTCTAACCCTACGGTAAGTATGAGTTGGCTGACCATCCTACGGGTATAATCCATTTACTGCAGGATGATGTTAGAGGTGTCACTTTTGAGCGCCAAGTTGTGGCGAACTCTTCTTCCCTCATCTAATCTCCCCCTGTAATCATGCTCTTTCTTGGCGTTAGCCTCCTTGTTATGCAAAAAAATATAATTTGCCTCTAATGAGTTATAAAATCATAATTGCATGTAGACATGGCTTACAACGTTGAACTAAAAGATGATTAATTACACATACCATTTCCTCAACGGCGTCCAATATATTAATTTCAAAGATGCTGTAACAGTGACAAAAAAACATCGCGATTTCTCTTGGTTTCTTTCTAATTAAGGGCTCGATGAAGCCATGTGAGTTGCGTAACAAAAGAAAGCTAGGTATGTGTTATAACTTATATGTATTGTGACAGATGCAGTAGCGAGAGGAATTCATACAAGTCGGATTTGACCAACGAGAGTCGTGGCAATACAAGTTCAAAAGGGAGTGGTTGCATGTTCCGGGTTAAAATTAAAGAACTACTTTTTGATCTAGAGGCTCTTAATGGACCGACATTCCGGAGATACAAGAAGTGATTGAAATGGAAACCGGTTTGAGGCGAGGGTATCACAATCAAGAGAAGATGCTTTATCCGGAAGGCCATAGTCAGATGAAGAAATTCAGTAAGGAGGATAAAGAATTTATCAAGCAAATGAGAGATGTTGGGATATCTCCGGCGAAACAGAAGCAGACAATGAACATGAAAAAGGGTGACAAAGGGCATCACACCAAAAGGAAATTTTATAACCTCGGGTCCATGTTTAGGAGAGAAGACATGGGCGAGATGAATGCAGTCTAGTATGCGTTGCAAGCAGCTGAACGTGAGAATTATCATATAGAGGTTATGAAAGACGATAACGACGTGCTGACCCATCTTTTTTTTTTTTTTTTTGCCCATCCGACTTCTATCCAGATGCTGAAGGCTTGGCCATACGTGATTCTCATCTACTCAACGTATAAGACCAATGCGTATAAAATGTCGTGGGTGGAGATCGTAGGTGCTACTCCCGTTGGGAGGAATTTCAACATATGTTGTGCTATCATGAAGGAGGAGACAAAAGAGGCGTATAATTGGTTGTTGGTGTGCATAAAACTATTGCTCAGTCCACACATACCCACTGCCATCATCACCGACCATGAAGGTGGACTACTTGCTACAGTTTCTGGTGTCTTCCCCTACACCCCGCATTTGCTATGTGTTTGGCACACCAACACTAATGTGCAGGCGAAGTTTATGAAAATATTTGGGAAGGAAAAGATGAATTTGGTCAACGAGCCTTAGAATGAAGGTTGGTGTCCTGTGCTTTATTCTTGGTCCGAGCAAGGTATGTTGGCCGCGTTTGGCTGCTTTAGGGCGAGATGGAGCAATGACAATCCACATCTGTTGGAATACATACAACGAGTGTGGTGGCCGCATCGAGAGAAGTGGGCAGTTTGTCATACCAAACCAGTGTTTCATCTAGGAAATACGAGCACAAACAGGGTTGAGTCATCACATTCATCATTGAAAACTTTCCTTCACAACTCGAGGGGTCTACAGACAATGTATGGAAAGGAAACCATACGTATTGTTATTTATCTGATATTATGCAAAATTTGTGCTGATTCTCTATCCATGACACAGATATCCTTGGAACCAGCAGGCAAGCGGAATACGCACACTTGCATCTACTTCTTGTCTTCGTTCGGGACCTTGTCATTGCCATCCACGACCCTGTGCCAGACGGTCATTGTGGGTTTCGTGCACTTAATTTTGCATTATATGGTAATCAAGATGGGTTCCCACAGGTGAGGCGACTCATCGCTGAAGAAATTCGTCAGCACGACTGGCGATACGCTAACATGTATGGCGCGGATGTGGTTGCGGCAATCACTCGCATTGACATTGCTACTACACATCCAATGACCAACCATCATTGGATGATGGGTGTGGATCTATTCGTATTTGCCACGATCTTTAACTTGGTTGTTGTCATGTACTGCAATATCCTCCACCCCACACCAACTACCTACAATTGTACCATCCTGCCAGTGGACAACCTATCTGGGGCAACCGGTCCTAGAGGAGTCATTGTTGTGCATTTCGCCCAGGATCATTGGCTCAACCTCTATTTCCCCGGCTAACAGGATACCGATGCCCCCTGTACACTACATGTGGGAGGGTGGTAAACAAGATAGCATCATTGGATGGGATAAATATTTCAAGCAGTTTAGTCAACTGTGGTTAGATCCTGGGGGTGGCCAGTCAAGCGGTCCATGGCGCAAATCCAAGAGGGTCCCAAAAAAATAAACTTGTAATCAAGAGGGAGCCCGATATACCATGATTCAATAATAAAAACATCCAGTTATCTCAGGTTGCTTACGTCACAAGGAAACATGTTGTTTTTACTACATGATATAATAAAAACATCTCAAGTACAACAGAAACACATAAGTCATAGCCAGATTCATGGAATAATAGAAGTATTAGGAGAACAACAAATATAACATAAGTCGTAGGATAACAACAGAATAAAATAAGTCATAGTCTAAAAACAACAAACGACACTCAAAAATAGTCACATAACAAACATCAAGCTACTGTGGAGGTGGTAGAAAACCCGACCTCCCCCTAAACTCGGACCACATGCTACCAACCCCATGACATAAGTCATAGTACTCGTCGGACCTAGCATGCCACTCCTCCCTGCTACCTTGTGCACCATCCATCACGGGAGCTATCCCCAACCACATCTCGCGTCCCAACTGTAAGAAAAAACCAGACAATTTAAATTCATATTAGTTGCAATCAAACATAATTTTACTTAATACAACAAAATTTCAAATGTGATTGTACTAACTGCATCAGCATCCACGAACTCGCGATGAGGTCGGCTATCACTCTGTATCTGTGGGTGCGAGTGCCTACGGTACCACTCCAAGTAGTCGTTAATAAACTCCCATGGCCTACGTCGTACCGGAGTACAAAAAAAGTCCAGATGCACACTATGGCCCCCTAGGTTGTTCCACCACAAATCATAAACAGACTGGTAGCTAAGAGAGTATCCAATCGTGGAAGCGGTTCGGCTCACAACAAGTGGACGCTCCGACTGATATGGTACTCTACACGTAGCCTAAATGTCAGAGGCATCTAGGGGGATCATATGGCTCTACTATCTCTGCAAATCTAATCATTATCTGATACAAGGTACGTCTCACGCTCAGATGAGGCCTCAGACCATAAAGATTCCAAACAACCTGATGTGGGGTCAAATTGTCAATCGCCTGACGATACTAAGCCATCATGAGTGTATCCTTCTTCTTTGTCGACTGAGGTGAGATACCGCGCCACCTGAGTGCCCCTGTTTTCCCCTTCTCTAGGTGTCGTGGATCCAACCGACTAGGCCTCAAGGTAGGAAAGTGGTCGTAAATCCAATATTGTAGTAAAGTCAGACAACCCGCCACTCTCTTAGCCTCCACCTGTGAGGCACTACCAAGCTGCCTGTATAGATAAGAAAGTGCTCCAGCCCCCCACGCGTACTCTCCCAGTAACTCCGCCCTCTTCACAATCAAGTTGATAACAGAAGAAACATGCCTTACTGTTATCTACTAACAATGTGGACCCCAACAACAGAAGAAGGTAATATTGAGCCTCTCTAGTTGGCGGACTAACCTCCTGCAAATGAGCCAAAGCTGTCACACCTAACAAACCATGCCCTCTGTAACACTAAGAATCTTTGGCAAACTCTCCAACCTACGCCCCCTGGCCCAAATCCGCACGATCCACGCCCAATAGTGCTCGCATGTCATCCTCCAGTGACATCTTCTCTAACTACCTCAGATCCACTGCCATCGCCTCTTCCTCAACCGAAATGTCAAGGGATGTGCACCACGTCGTGAAGGAGGATCGTCATCTCTCCAAACGACATGTGGAAGGTGTTGGTATCCGACTGCCACCTCTTCACAAATGCCGATATGAGAGCAGTGTCCAGCTCGCTCTGAAAGGTGATATCTACGGGGTGAGAAAGGCCCGATGTCTCTACAGTACCCAAGCATGATAATATGAGATCTCGTAACCCCGTAGAATGTGCTGAAGCGTCGTACTCCTATTGTAGCAAGTGATCACCCCTCTATCAGTCTATCCCGTGTAAAGACGGTGGGCAACATGCACAAGAAAACTACGGAGCAAACACGGGTCACTCAGCCCTCCAACACACGGTCTTCTAAGCTCCTAGGCCTCTCTCACATCAGCATTACCCCATCTGGCCCTCACCGGGTTGTGGAGCTCTGTAGAAACGCCCCGCGTGGTCTCTATAAATCTCAGTAATGACGTGTGATGATTCGCTGGCGGTACCTCTATCTCTCATCAGATTGCCTCGTGGAATGCAATCCTCAGCAGCATCTGACTCATACTACTCAGACTCATCGTCAATCTCGTCTAAAGTCTCAAACGGTGAAGTATGATGATCCACCGTCCCAAAGCTGTGACTGGAATGACCTCTACTACCAACCATACTAGCCAACTGAAAATTAAACTGAGGAAAGCCATCTTCCCTCAATCTCATCGGTGGCTCTAACTGATGTGGTTGTGGCTCATTCTCAGGCTCTGACTGCTCTCCCAACCTATCTCTACGCTTTGACTTCTTATTATTTCTATATTTCTATCACTCATACTAATGTTACGCCCATCAAATCTCCACAATTTCTTTCCTCTTCCTCCAACATCAGCACCTGACGCCATCTCTAAACATAGTAAATAATTATATATTAATTTCTCATAATAAATTAATTTTTGAGCAATGTATTCACAATTTTTTACCATAGACTAATTATGATACATACAACTTATTAACTAATTAATTTAGTTAGATAGTTATTTCACTAAATACGATAGACTATTATTTTATGAAATACAAAATGTAGTCTTTGCTACTTTAATTAAATACACAATTATTTAGACTTATATAAAATCAATATAATAAATAGTTATTTAACTAATATTAAATACTAATTATTCAACTAACTAATTTACCAAATTGAACATTTGAAAATTTAAATAGAAGATTTGTCCATAATCGAAAAATCGAATATTTTCACAATTAAATACTCATTATTTAACTAATAATTAAATTTCTGTAATTTGTTCACAATGTTATATCTTTTTAACTATTGGAAAATTGAAGATTCAGACAATTAAATAATTAACAAATTACAAACACTATTTAATATCACTATTTTACATTTACGATTTAGTAACTAACAATTAAATACTAATTATTATATTAACAATCTAAATATTACTTAAATATTATTTTTTACTAAAAATAAAAATATAATCAGTTGGAATGGTCAGCCTGTAGCCTAATCGGTCTGGTCCGTACAGGTGGACGGCGTCCGACCCGTCCGGCGACCATCGCTTCTATCAGTTACCGGCGGGAACCCAAAAATATTTCTAAGTCGGCGACGGCGACGGCGACGATAATTGACGCGGGGTGGGCGGCTGCGGTGGTGGGCTCGCGACAACTGCAGTGGTTGGTGGCTGGCGGCGGAGGTGCAAGGTAGACGGCGACAGAGTGTGGTGGACGGCGGCGGAGTTTCAGTCGGGCGGCGGAGATCTGTGGGAAGGAGCAGCAGAAGTGGGAGAGAAGGGAAGGGAGGTGAGGGGTTGGGTTGGGTTGGTTTGGGCTGGGGGTAGATAAGTTCAGGATTTTAAATTAGAGAAGGGGCAAATTCGTCATATTTTTTGTAACTACGGGCGGCAAATAGTAAAAGTACAAGCGGCAAATATCGATTCACTAGATTTAGACTTCTAAATAAAATAATATCCTTTTAATCAGTTTAATTAAAAAATAAAAGTTAAATGTTGATATTATTTGTTGGATTCAAATATAAATATTTGGATGTTGACGTTAAAAATTGTATTTAGATATGTGTATTTGTTATTTTTGTTTGAAATGTTGTATGTTCTTTAAATATGAATGTCAATTGTAAGTAGATTGTCTTGAAATATGTTTTTATTTATGCTTAAATTCATTTGATTTTATTGGTTTTCACATTATTACATATTTGGTTAATCGGCATGAATCGAGAAAAACAATTTGTATCTCGGTCGAACCATATCACTTGCTAAACCAACATAACGATATAAACCCAATTGACAACCTTGTTGGTGATTGAAGAAAAGAATTAGGTAGTCTTGTGGTTAGGTTTATGATATGTTTCATGATATTTGTGGTCAACTTTGTGAGTTTTTTTTTCTTTTTGCAACGAACTTGTCATCAACTTTGATTTTTTTTTTGTGCTTTATTATTTTGGTGGACTGGTGAGTTTCTATTTCGTTTTATGAGTTTTTTTGTTATACTTTTATGTGTTTTTCGGGTAATTTCTATTTTTTATCCAAAGTTTTTTTGGATTCTTTTTTGTTAGCCAAACCTATCAAAATACTAAGAATTAACCAAATATGAACTTTCAGATAGCAATTTTGTTAGTAATATTGACTTTGCAACATGATACTGACTTGGAAGAGACATATGAAGATCAACATTCCAAAATTTTACTATTTTAACTAAAAAAAGAGTTACAAAATTATTAACGATAACGTAAAAATGGTTAATATTTTGATGCATTACGAAAGATTTGGCTAATTAATAGCAATTTAATAGGTTTAGATAATATAAAAGAATCTAAATTTTTTTGGATAAAAAAATAGATATTACCCTTTTTTAACATAGTCAGAACCAAACGAAAGTCCGAAAACAAAGTCAAAATACAGAGATTAACCACGGGCGAAAGTCGACTAATCGTCGAACTTCCGATGAAAGAACTTTTTGGCCACAAAATGGGTTGCTCTATTAACTCGACGAATAACATGTGAGCAAGTACAAAACTCAAGTAATCCGGCCAGCTTGTGGATGTCTTCTATGATTGCTCCTCCAGTGGCATGTTGAGTATCTCCAGTGGCGGCCCAAAAAATTTACATAGGGGTATCCCCTTTTAAAAAATAAATTAAATAAAAATAATTCTTAAATAATTAATAAAAATTAAATAATTTTTAAATAAGAAAATACCTGACTCGTACAACTTAAAAAAAGTCCACTATGTGTTTTCATATCCGGAAATAATTGTAGAATACACTTGGTGCCTACACTATTCAAATTTTTTGTCTTTGTGTATCCAACTAGACAATCATTCACGAACTGATCACATATTTTATTTGTAAACTTGTTTTTTATGTAATCCAAAGTTGAAAAGACTCTTACAACACTTGTCATACAACCATAAAATCAATACAAATTAAGAGTAGTTTGGAATTTGTTTAATTGTAGGTTTTGAAAATAATTAGGGATAGTGAATGACATTTTACTATTACACAGTGTTTAAAATCGACCAAAATATGAGTTGTAGGCTTGTAGCTTAATGGAAATTATGTTTATTAATAATAATAGTGTCATAGGTTTGAATTACCCAAACTACCACTTATATTTCCAATTTTCCATACCCAAACTAGAAGATGAGAAGAGGATAATCATTTTTTCAAATTTCTAGGGTGTCTTCGACTATCAATTATAATTTTTTTTGTCCATACGTAATTTACCACTGGGGGTTGGATAATCGTTGTCACAAAATTTAGGGGTGTCCCAAACATGTGTGGGTCCTCCCCTGAGTATCTCCCGCCAACACCCGCTGAATAGTCAGAAGAGAAGTGTCATGACAGTTGAGGAAAAAGAAATTATGAGATAAGAGCCATTATAAGGAGTGACGTAATGCCAAATTATCTGTAAGAAAAGAGTTAGCAATGCCTTCATAGAACGTACCCATGGAAAACACGATCATACCCGAACTGTCATGTCCCACAAAAGCAATACCTACTCCACGCTCACAAGCTCAAAAGCCTTTGTAACACTTGACAACAAAAGCCTTTAAGTATTTTGTGGTGTGATTTGTCATGTTTTTGGTGTGTTCATAATATTTGTGGTTCACACACTCTGTTGGGCTGATAATTTTTAAAAATGAGAAATGCGCCCCTTCACTTAAAATCAATATTAAATTGTAGTCAACCTTTTCAATATTAAAAGTCAATAAAAGGAAATATTTGGCTTGATTAATTGTTAGTATCATGCTAATAAATTAGGTTTTAGCAATCTAATTCATCAGAATCAATAAGTCTATCAAAACAACCACATAGAATATATAACTTATTTGTGGTTAATTGATAGGACTGCATAAATATAAACATTGTATATGAATAATGAGACATTTGTTTTTGTCTCTCAATAGAAAGAAGAAGAAAAAAACTCACTCTAACGAATTACTTTACAATAGAAACAAACCCCATAATTAAGAGTAGTATTTGGGGATAAACCGTGTAAAGTTTTTATCATATTGAAAGTTAGTAACATCAAAGAGAACTAAGAACAAACTTAACTGATTTCTTGGGTTTCATTTCATGGCGTCTCTAGTTACACGCCTTGCCTTCCCTCCCATTATCACCAAAAATCTAACACAGCCGACGAAGCACATGAACATTGATCACAAGAACACCGACTTTAACCAATCCATCTGCCAAATGAATAAGGGGGATAAAAAACAGAACAACCAAAATGAAACACAACAAAATCAGCAAAGCCACCGGTGACCGGGCGGCAGGCCGGAGCTACCAAACTGCAGCAAACCCAAAAATTAACCCCCTCAAACTAAAAACCCAACACCACCATTCCCCAATTCAACATTCCCACTTCTCTAAAATCTTTCATCTCACCACATCGGAGAAACACAATCCCTGCAGAAGCAAAACATATCCATTCTTCTTCACCAATTCCCTCCTCAATTTTAGACGATGACGATGATGGCCGCGAAAAGATCCCTCCGCCTCGCCCGAGCCGCCATCTCTTCCGCTAAGCTGAACCCACGGTCAAGAACTGTCAGCTCGGAAAGCGGCGGCAGCTCATCATCAATCATCGATTGGAAGGCCTCCCTGAGAGAACAACTCCGAAACTCCAGCTCGGAACAGAGCAGCTCTGTCTCCATCTACAGAGTCCCCGTCACAATGCGCCAGGTGGAGCCCTCCGCCTACACGCCGAACCTCGTCTCCATCGGCCCTTACCACCGCGGCGCAACCCACTTGATGGAAACGGGAGACCAGCTCAAATGGCGCTTCGTCAGCCGCCTCTTTCGCTCGAACCGGGTTGAGCTGGACCCGATATTCGACGCCCTGGAGAGCATGGAGGACAAGGTGAGGAGCTGCTACGCCGACGATGTCAAAATCGACGGAGAATTCGTGCGAACGATGCTATTGGACGGTTGCTTTGTGATCGAATTGCTGAGGGAATTGGAGAAGTACGGGTTCAGAAACGGCTCCCCGATGATACAGAAATGGATGCTGCCGAATCTCCGCCGGGATTTGATCATGCTTGAGAATCAACTCCCCCTCCCAGTCCTCCAGATGCTTTTCCGGTTAACGGAAGGCGCAAAGGGATCGGAGGATTCTTACAAGGATTCGTTGCTGAAGCTGGCGCTTCGTTTCTTCAGTCCTCTGTTGCAGAGGGAATCCCCTGAAGTTTCCCCCAAACTTCAGGGGGAAAAGGTCCAAGAAACCCATCATCATTTCCTTGATTTCTTCCGCTCCAGGTAATGCAAGTTTGAATCTGTTTTCAACCAGATAATTGATTTGATCGAATCTCATACATGGTTCCGCTTCAAACATCATAATTAGGATCCTTCCAAGAGAAGCCATAGAAGCAGAAGCTTTACACGCTCCCCTGCCCCGCCGGATACCGGAACCTCATCCTCACTGCCACGAGGAACCCAACATGATACGATCAGTGAAGGAGCTGGCAAAGGCAAGGATGTTCGTGGGGAAAAGGAAGAACAATAGGCCGTTGGACGTGCAATCGGATGGCAACCGGCTCGTGATACCACCCATTTACCTGGAGGACGGCAGGGGAACTCTGTTCAGGAACATGGTGGCCTTCGAGCAGTGCCACGGAGGGTGCAAGCCCCAAGTGACCGCCTACGTGTTCTTTCTCAATGGTCTCATCAACTGTGAAGAGGATGTGGCTTTGTTAACGAGGAAAGGGATCATCCATCACACTCTGGGTAGCAATCGGGAGGCGGCTGACTTGGTCAACGCCCTGACCAAGGAGGTCGTGGGCGGGGACACTAGGGAGTCGTACCTTCAGCGTGTGCTTGTGGTTGCCAATTCGTACATGTCCACCACTTACGCCGTCATGGGAGCCCCGCTGGTTGATAAGTACTTTGGGAATTGGGTCATGGCTTTGTCGACCCTAGGGTTTTGTATCTATGAAGCTCCTAGTTTCATGGCTCGGGTCCGAGATCTGACCGAGACTTTCGATGATGACAATGAGTAGTTGAGTAGTGGTTTGTTCTTCATCTTATCGCCTCTATATTGATGGTTTGGTGGGGGATACGGGTTTCACTAAACCCCTGCACATTTTCTTCTTGATAATAAAGGGTCATATTCAACTATTCATTTAAAATTGGCATTTGATTATTATCGGTTTTGTCATGCACATTCAGGATCTGCATGAGACTGATAGGTTAGAACTTGATGCAAATTGACAATTTTTATTAATTTGATAAATAAGAACAACAAATACCCTAACCTCAGCCGTCAAATTCGGCACTGAATATCTCAAATCCATGACCCTTGAAAATCAGCAACCAACTAAACAAACTAAACATTCACTTCTGCATCTCCACTTCTGAAATATCACACATTCCAAGTTGTGTTCTTAGTAATGAGAACTCTCCAATTTATGAGCTTTTGCCATCACACCAGCCACCTGATCATTTGTGCTACAATACACAAGTTCTATATCATGTTCCTTTGCCAGATCCCTCAGAAAATGAAACCTGACAATGATATGTTTGTTCCTCCCATGAAGTACAGAATTCTTAGACATACTGATAGTTGAGATGTTGTCATACAACACCTTTATTGCTTCCTTCACACTTTCTTTCCAACCAATTTGTTCCAAAATCTTCCCGAGCCAAACACGGTGTGTTGTAGCATAAGAAGCAATCACAAAAACTTTTGTGGTTGACAAAATAGCCAATGGTTGCTTCTTAGAAGCCTAGGAAAAAATTCCACTGCAAGAAAGATTACAAAACAACTAGTGTTTTCCATGTCATCTACATCGCTACCCATAATCACTGTTGCACATACTAACAGATAACCCCCTCCTTCTTCCATTCTTCCATGCCATATTCCATACCCCATACTACCTTTCAGGTACCTCTGAATTCTCTTAGCATCAAGCATTTGTTGTCTCGACTTTCATTAACCTTGTAAGCGAACATACATAATATGTTAAGTCAGGTCTAGTTAGTGTAGTATAGCGCAGACTTCCACCAAGTTGTGTTTGAAATATAGGGGTTTGGGAAATAATAAAGGATTTACTTTATTTTGGGATTTGTCCAAATTTGTCGGTTTATTAAGTTTAGGGATTTGGATATTCTTTTTGGGGGATTTTAGGCATTATTGGCCTCTTCGGCAAGACGAAGATGTCAGGCTACAACTCGGTAGGGCTGAGGGCCGACTTAGGCCAGATGGGCTTGGAGCTCGACAGAGACGAGCGTCGGGCTCGAGGTGAAGGATTTGGGGCAATGGGCCGAGGAGCGGTCTAGGACCAAGAGATGGACGAGTTCAGCTAGCGGGCCAGGAACAAGCTTCGGCCGAGTTTGAGGCCAGGAAGGGGCCGCTAGGCCTGGTGGGCCAGGCCAATGGAATGGACTGGGCGGACAAGGGTTGGAAGAATCCAAGTCGAACCTAAACCTGGTAGACCCAAGTCGGACCAACCGGGTTTGGTATGGTGGGTATGAACCGAACGGGTCATAGCACAACCATCGTGACAAGGGCAGCAGGGTCGAGACAAGACAATTCTGCTCCTAGTAACACGAAGGAGAAAGCGACAGGGAGTCTTACCCGTCATGGAGGACGACGACGGTCGACAGATGGCAGGCGGATCGGTAGTGGGTGGTCGGGCAAGTCTCCGAAGCTGGTCAAGGTAACCTCTTTGAGACGGAAGGACGCTAGGCCGCTCTCCCACCACCCGGGCATGACCATCAGCACTTCAAGTCTTCGACCAGCAGAGAGACCGGTCTGGAGGTTTTGAGGACGGTCGGTATGGAGGTAATATGATGGCCATGGTGAACCAGTCTTTACAGCTAAGCCCTCAACCATTGAGTTTCCCAAATTCAATGAGCAAGAGGATGCAAGGTTGTGGATTTATGTTGTTGACAGGTGGTTCAAGAACCATGCCACTAAGGAAGACCGGAAGGCGCATCTGGTGTCTTTCTATCTGGAGGGAGATGCATTGTAGTGGTGGGAGTAGATCGAGAGATCATATGTTGAGGCAAGGATGGAGGTCTCTAGGGAACTCTTCAAGGAGGATTTAATATTCCAGTTTGGGCGATTAGAGGGATGGGCACCCGAGTAGCTGGCCAACTGAAGCAGGCAGGAACTATGGCTGAATACATATCTGAGTTTTTGAAGCTAGGCAACATGTGCAAGAGCATTCCAGAGGAGACTATGGTGGGGCAGTGCATGCCAGGACTGAAGGCCGAAATTGCATCAGCAGTCAAGGTGTTTAAATCGGAGTCACTTAGGGTGGCTTTTAGGCTGGCGAGTCATAAGGAATAGGAGTCGGCTAGTTGGAGGAGTGCGACAGGATGCTGGCAGAAGACAGGAGGAGGCACGGGTGGAACTATCGTCGCTGGAGGTGGTACTAGGACAACCGCGGCGGTGGAAACCCCTGTGCCGCCACCACCAGCTCGACCGATGCCTCGCTTTCCATCCAAGGGCTTCATAAAGCTGTCACCGGATGAGATCGAGCAAAAGAGGAGGAAAGGGCGTTGCTTCATCTGCAACGATCAGTTCAGCGTGGGACATGTGTGTTCCAAACCGGAGTTGATGGTGCTGGTTGGATGTTGGGAGGATGAGGCTGAAGATTGGACGGCGGAGGAAGAGGAGGTGAAGATGAAAGAAGGCGGTCAACCTTGAGGTCAAAGTTGGTTTTAAGGGGGGTGGAATGTTAGAAATATAGGGTTTGGGAAATAATTAGGGATTTTCTTTATTTGGGGATTTGTCCCAATTTGTATGTTTTTTAAGTTTAGGGTTTTGGATGTTCTTTTTGGGGATTTTAGGCATTATTGGCCTATTCGGATTGAGAATTATTCTTTAGTTAGTAGAAGGAAATTATTTCAAGTTTATATTATGTAAATCGGGAAAAATTTTCATTAAGCAGACTATCATCAAAGATTTACCCTAAACCTAAAACTAATCACTCTCCCTCTCTCCTCACTCTCCCACGTCTGACTCCTCCCCTTTCCATAGAGCTTTGGCTCCTTCTCATTTACCTTCCCCTTGCTCCTATATCTTTCCACTTCTGAATTCCTTTTATATTATTATTCTTAAATCATCCCCAAATCAAGCCCCAAGAACAAGGTCACCTGATCTTGTTTCTTTCAAGATTCTGATACTCTGTGGCATTTGCTTGAATTTCATCACCAACCTTTGACAACTTCATTCCTGGTGTCATTTGATTATGCACAAAGTTGCATGGTATCATATTGAATCTTTCAAATACTTATCTTATGTACATTTGTTGGCTGATGAATATGCCATGCCGAGTTTGAGTAACCTCCACTCCAAATTTATCAAGGTTGGCCATCTCAACTCATATTGCATAGACTGTTAGAAATCTTCAATAATAACTGACATGTTGTTATATGACTCAATCTTGTTGTACCAATCGCTAGGTGCTTGTTTTAAACATATGATGCTTTTTGAAGATTGTACAGTTTATTTTCTTCGCCCATAACCACAAATTCTTGTTGCGGAATGTAACACCCCGATATTTTGATTTAGGTTTGACCATTACAAATGAATGGTTGGATTTACGGTTATGTACGAAGGGTTACAACTATTATTATAACAACAACAAAAAATATTAACCCGAAGGAGAGGGCCGAGCGCCCTTATCCCATCCAATTCTCCCTCCCACCCAATTAACTCCCTCCCATCCAATTAACCCCCCCCCCCCCCTCTCAACCCTTTCACTCGTTCACTCGTTTTCCTTTTTCCTTTAGCACCGCTGCATCACCTCGAAGCCCCAAACCCGCTTCTACACTCGTCCCCAATCCCCACGACGAACCCTTTTCCCCATCGCGAGAGACAGAAGCAAGTAGCGGAAAGAAAAGGAACCATGTCCCCTGATCCTTGTCCCTCGCACGCCAGTTCCCACGAACTAGACACACGTTCAGGTGTTTTGCGTTTCTCCGACATCACGGGGGTTTGAACATCGATTGACGAGGAGATCAATGTCCCGAGCCATCCGATCTAGTACTAGGTTCGTTCTAAAGGTTAGAGAACTCGATCCCTTCTAGTTAGATCGGTCATTTTAGTGATTTTTCGTGAGGTTGCAATTCTGGATTTTAACGACGGGATTTACAGGTTGTTAGTTACAGTTTTGATTGTTCACTAAGGTTGCAGAAAATTTCCAGAAATGTTATTTAAGTTCTAAAAATGATTTCAGGCATCTTCAGAAGTTTATTCTAGGTTTTACAATTCTCAAAATTGAAAGAGGTCTAGTAGATGCCTGTGATTTAATTTGGATATTTTTGAAGATGAATTACTAATTTTAGAAATTAGTCTAATGTTGATTTTCACTAAATAAAATTCATGTCGAGGTGTTTTTAAGGAGGTTCAAGCTAGGTGAAAAAATCGTCCAAGATGAAATTAAGTAGGAAAAAGGATCGGTTTTGAAGGGATTATTTCTAGAGAATTTTTAAAGGGGGTTAAGGGATCTTTAGAATGAGGTTCGAGGATGAGGCTTTGAGGAGAGGGTGTTCTGGTAGGTAAAAAGGGGTTTTAAATCGAGAAAGGTCGTTTAAGAAAATGAATTTCTTATTAATAGGTTTCTTGAGATAATTCGGCTAAGGAGGGATTTCTTCGAGTAAGAAATTGATGGGCATCTTTTCGAGGTGAGTGTAAAGAGGGTAAAATCTTCGTCGATGTCTTTTAGTTTATGCTTTTAGTTTCAAGTTATGTTAGTTATTTTCGAGTTATGTGCGATTAAAGTTTGAGGTACCCCACTGCCTTCTGAAGGTGGAGACACGATAGGCATTTTTATATATATTTTCTTACTATTGTTATTTTTTTTTCTCAGGGGTATTTAGATAGCAAAATATGCTATTTTCTCATGATTTGACTTACTTAGTCATTTTAACTTAGTCAAATCATGATTTGAAAGAACTCAACAATTTTTGGATGGGAAGTCTAACAAAAAAATATGCTTGAGAATTTTTCATTGAAGAAATGCAATCTTGACGTTAAACATAGTAGAGAGTCACACTTTATAAAAGTGTATAGTAGAAGGGCAAAATATGCTATTAACATTACTAATTACTAACAATTAAAGTAAGGTTCATTTACATCTAAAATACAATAGAGATATAGTTCGGGGACAAAACAAACACAAAAGAGGACGCAAATGAGACATTTCATCTCCAAGATCTTCAAACTCCATGGGATTCTAAACATCACAACACACATAATCGAGCATTAAGTTTCATATGCAAGAGTGAATACATGTAATCAAAAGAGTTACTAACGGACTCGAAAATGTGAATGTAGATCTAAAATTTGAAGGAAATTACTAATTCCTTCAACCTTACTCTACCGTCTTTCACTCTATGAAGACTTGATTGTCAAACAAAATGGAAAGAAATTATATTAGTAATAACAGTCTCCCTGGGAACTGAGTTCATATTTCTGGTCTTATTGTAACGTCCTTTAAGCAACTTAATTTGAAAAGTAACTTTTCTTTTTCAAAAATACAACTAAGAATTTAGTTTCTGAATTGTTGTATGCACAATTTTGGTGTCACACTCTACCCCATCCAAACATTATAATAACACGTTTAACCCCTATTGATATTTGACAACAACCCAATTGCATTTACAAGAATCGTTGTTCCTATTCTGAAAAGATCAATTATTAGTATTTATTTCCCCATTATTTTTCAGGGAAGAGGCTATCAACTCAAGGTCTCAATACCCAGATTGAAAGTGTTTTTTTGTAACGAGGAAAATACGATTAATATTTACTTAAATACTTTTTTGGATGTAAAATAAACAGTTATTTTTATTATTATTTTTTGTGTATTCTGCTCTCTGCACTGTTTCCCGTACCCAAGCCGTGGCATCCTATCCTACACACTCCGCGCACGATATAATCCTGCGCACCGCCACTTCCGCCTCCGCTTCCACCACCACCATTCCGCCGGTGCGTGGAGGCTTCCACCGCCACCACTACTCCGCAATGGCGCGAAAATCCTCCTTCGTCAAGCAAGCCATAGCCTGCTCCGCCTGCCTCGTCCTCGTCCTCTACGCCGCCTACTTCACCACTTTCCTACGCCCCGCCAGCTCTCCTCCTCCTCTCGACATCCGCGACGGCGTCGTCGTCGGGTCCACCATAACGCTCAGCGCGAACAGAATCAAGGTTTACATGTACAATCTCCCCAGGCAATTCACCGCCGGCATCATCGAGGAATTCGCCAGGGCTCGCGGCTCCACTGATGTGTCCAAATCGTGGTACCCTGGCCACCAGCACATGGGGGAATGGCACCTGTTGGCGGATCTGAATCGCACTGACGAGGATCGGGTCGGGTCGCCCGTGGTCCGGGTCGCCGACCCGGACGAGGCCGAGCTGTTCTACGTCCCGTTTTTATCTTCCCTGAGCTTGCTCGTGAACGTAAATCGCCGCCTCGCCGTGGCGGATGATCAGGTGTACAGCGACGAGAAGATGCAGGAGGAGCTGGTGCAGTGGCTGGAGCAGCAGGAGTACTGGCGGCGGAACAACGGGAGGGATCACGTAATCGCCGCCGGAGATCCCAACGCGCTCAACCGAGTGATGGAGCGGGTCAAGAACTCGGTGCTCTTGCTGTCCGATTTCGGCCGCGTGAGGCCCGATCAAGGATCGCTTATCAAGGACGTGATTGTACCGTATGCTCACCGGATCAACCCTTATAAAGGCGAAATCGGAGTGAAGAAGAGGAACACTCTGCTCTTGTTCATGGGCAATCGATACCGGAAAGATGTAATAAATAAAGAGCTTTCTTCCCCCGTCCAAATCAATTCAATTCATCTCTGCTTGTGCTTGATTTGATTGAAGAAGCTTTCTCTCATTCCCACGGGGGGTTTTCTTTTATTTTATTGTTCTTCTTGTTTCAGGGAGGCAGAATCAGGGACTTGCTATTCCGATTGCTGGAAGGTGACAAGGATGTGATCATAAAAGAAGGGACGCAGTCGAGGGAGGATCGCCGCGCGGCCAACCGCGCAATGCACACTTCAAAGTTCTGTTTGAATCCGGCAGGGGATACTCCGTCGGCTTGCAGACTGTTCGATGCAATCGTTAGCTTGTGTGTCCCGGTGATCGTAAGTGACAGCATCGAGTTACCTTTCGAAGATGTGATCGACTATAGAAAGATTGCAATCTTGGTGCGCACCAAAGATTCTCTTCAACCTGGCTACTTGACTAATTTGCTCAGAGGAGTGAGCACAGAGAGAATTCTGGAGTTCCAGAAAGAGCTGAAACAGGTATATCTTATCTTACTACATCGCGTATGAAACTGTTATGTTTTGCTTGTTAATCTGTCTTGAGCCTGTGCCATGAACCAAGTATTGTTAATGCAGAGGAGTTTGTTTAATAACATATAACAGATGATGAATGTTCCTAGTTTTGGATTGGGAGGGAAGAGTCCATTGTTTGAGCTTGAAAGTGCTGCTTGACTTTTGTGTGGGATGCACTCACTCTTGGTCTTTTTTCTTCCAGACTTTGCGAAACTGATTGCAGATCATTGTAGTTCTATTCTATCAGTTGTTTCTTTGGATGAGTTTAGCATTATTCAACTACTGATTTCAGGTGAGCCACTATTTCGAGTACAAGGAACCAAACGGAGCAGTGAATGAGATATGGCGTCAAGTGTCGCAGAAGCTACCACTAATAAAGCTGATGATAAATCGTGATAAAAGGCTCATCAAAAGGGACTTGACTGAGCCAGACTGTTCTTGCCTATGTACAAGCCTGACTGACGCCGTATGATGATGAGTAGGATTTTTCTGTGTGCTATACGACGGTCTACGGGAGACTCTTCTAGGCACATCCTGAATCGGAATCCTGGAGGAAATCAAAAGATGAATGGCAAGCATAGTTGTATACTTGGATATTTATTTTTCCCCACTATTTACCATGTATACTCACAGAGAAGATGTGATTCATTGATTTTGTACATCTAGGCAAATAATAAGTTGATCATGATGTTATAATCAAAGAGGTTTGCTCACCAAATTACGTTTAGCTGTTTTACTTTGCTACTTTAAGTAACCCTTCTGTTCTACTTTTCCTTTACGGGTAAATCGCGTCTAATGTGCAAAGGACAGGACTTCAGCTTTTTCAACTTGTATCGACCGTAGAGAGTTCCGACTCTCCCACTTTTTGTAGTTCAAAATAGTTTATCTTAACAACGCAAATCTGAACTTCACTGACACAGTGAAACCCTGAAGTCGAGGACAAGATCATGTGGTGGATTCATCTGTTCAATTGGTCATGTTCTTTAGTCATGCAACTAACGCAAACAGTAGAAAAGGGCTAAAATGAGGGGGCGGAATCTGCTTTGATGACCATGAGACCTGCTAAAGCTCTCGACCTACACAGGTTCCAAGTTACTTACAAGAGAAGCTCCAGCTGGGCGGTAGTACAAGTTGCAGCAGAGACGCAACAGCGGAGAGGAATTCGCTCGACTCAACCAGGAGGCCACTTCATCTGTCTTCCTCCCAATACATGCAGGTGGAGATGATAAACAGATTGACCTGGATCGGACCGTGGCATTGGAAATGATGAATTAAGGGGCAGTCACTCCAGATCAAAAGATATCAGATTGTTACTTACAGGCAGTGGGGCCACTGTTGATAACCACCCTAAACCCATCAACAACCCCTTCCTTCTCTGCAACTATTTTGGCGGCATACAGAAGTTGGCCTAGGATTTCTCCATGCCTGGCTTCCGCCTGACAAGGAACAATGTACAGACAGTAAGGTGTCAAGAGAACTACTATAAGTTGGATAGATAGAATAGGCTGTCAACTGTTTGCACGGATTTGATTGCAGAAATGTAAGCATATGTAAAGCAGAGAGTTTTAGCATCTGAAGGAAGAGTTGAGGAGATAAATTCTGGAAACGCTTAAAAGATGAGTTCTAGGAGAAGAAAAGGCATAGTGAAGTCAAATAACGATTTGGCAAATAAGATGCGTATATCAGCCCGAAAGTGACTTCCTTCACCACGTTACTGGAGACATGTAACCTCCAGGTTCTCTTTTAAGCATGCACATGATTCCAATCAATGAAGAGGAGAAAGTGCTGCAGGGCTACAACCATATAAAAGCGACTTATGCGCAAGTGTTGTGCTTTTAGGGTGCATAATGAATAATGGAAGAAAGCTTACTTTGCCAAGCTCTGTCAACCCATCCCTGATCTTTGGAATGATTACGACATGAACAGGAGCTTGAGGACTGATATCCCGGAAAGCCAGGACCTTTTGGTCTTCATAAACGATGGACGAAGGGATTTCCTTGGCTATGATCTTGTCAAAACTGAAAAAGGAAGAAACAATCAACATATGTAGATGAGGAACAAAGATCATCTCTAAAACATGACCAAAAAAATGCAAACCAAGGGAACAGGCCAAGTAAAGACTATTGACACCCAGTTGGATATGGTTTCTGCAGTAGTTAAAGAATATGGAGAGTAGATACATGGTGGGAGCTCCTTCATCAAGAGTGGCAGCAGCTGCTTTTGCGGCAGCCTCTTCATCATTGACGGCATTAGTAGCAAAGCGCAATCTACACAGATTGAATCAATGAAACAACATCAGGAAAAACCAGTGCCAAAAGAAGACCACGACTCAGACGAATGAAGGAGGAATGGTAAAAACCATAATCTCTTCCTATTTTACAGTCGCATCACCAAACCATAATCTCTTCCTATTTTACAGAACAAATGAAACGAAGGTGTAGTGACGGAGACCTGATAATAATCTGTTTAGAAATTGACCATTAACATTAATCAATCGCCAAAAGAAGATAGACGTGACCTGACCATGGATTTCCATCTATGTTCTTAATGCTCAGAAGAAACCCTAAGCCCGATCAAGAATTTTCCAACTGTGAGGGGATACCTGCGAGAGCGAGAGTGAGAAGAAGGAACCGGGAACCTAACGCGCTTGGAACGGAAACTGAAAGCAGAGGCTGGCCGAGGGAAGAGTTTGGCGGTTGAAAATGGCCTCACAACTAGCGCACAGTTCCTGTTTCAAACAATGAGAATCGCTGTAAACCGCCAGAAAAAGTGTAGGAAGACGACGGCGGAAGGCGGAACAGTACCTGAGAAGAGTGAAGGAGGAAGAGCCGATTGCGGCAGCCATGGCCGTCTCTCTCTGTTCGTTTAGCACTTGAAAGCTATCCTTCCTTTCCTTCTACCAAAAAAAAATAAAAAAAAAAGTTATCCTTCCTTTACTATTCCATAGAGTAATCCGTCGTCGTTTTGGTTCTCCCAGCGATCGCGCTCCCTCGTGGACGGCTGTGATGGAGAATAAATGAATTCTAAAACATTCAGCCTGATTCTTATCCGCTTATTTATAGAGAGAGAGAGAGACAGACAGACAGACAGACAGAAAGAAGAGCGAGAAAGCGGAGAAGAAATGGCGAGCTTCATGCCAACTGCTAACCTCAGAGGCTTCTCTGTGTCAGCAGCGGCTTCATCGTCTAATGGTAATTGAGTCTCTTCTTCTCAATTCGGTTGTGATGGTTGTATTTGATTTGAATTTTGTTACTTTTTTTTTTGTTTTAAGGGGCTGTTCCTGGGACTGGGACTGGGAGCACGCAGAAGGCAGGGCCAATGATAGTGGAGTTACCTCTGGATCAGATTAAGCGGCCATTGATGCGAACCAGAGCTAATGATCCAAACAAGGTGCAGGAACTCATGCAGAGCATCCAGCAAATCGGCCTCCAAGTCCCTGTTAAGTACCCTATGATCCTTCTTAAGTTCTTGCTTACCGTTATGTGCAGTAACCAGTACAATACTAGAAAGGATTTCAGAATTCCAGTAATCAGGTTCATCACAAGTATTCATTTTTGTTCATTCTGTCTGCATTTGTTGCAGATTGATGTTCTTGAGGTAGATGGTGTTTACTACGGTATGTGTAGCAGCATGGAAAACCTACCTCCATATCCCTGTGATTGTTTAACCTCAATCCTTTACGCCTGTCATTGTAGGGTTCTCCGGGTGCCATCGTTACGAAGCTCACCAGCGTCTTGGGCTCCCTACAATACGCTGCAAAGTCCGACGAGGCACCAAAGAAACTCTCAGGTTCCCTTGTCCCTCTCATTGCATCATCATCCTCAGTTCTGTTTGCTGTTGTTGACAATACGAATTCTATCTGTTCGCCAAATAGAGTGATTTCCCTGTTCCCACTTGCAGGCATCACCTCCGCTAGAAGGGTTTTACGCCGACTAGTTCACTATCCCTTCTACACTGTATAGACTATACACTAGTTTTGCTATCTCAAGACCCACCCTGTAAGGCTGTAACCTTGAAAACTCGCCGAGTTCTCACCTGTCAAATAACACAGCTTTGGGTTCTTCATCTCCAATTATAGGTGTTACAGACTCATGTCTGGAAAACAAGCTGAAGTTCAACCGTGTAACATGGGTGCCGGTAAATACAGGATGCATATACTACAGTAGGTTTCTATCAAACTATCATCAAAATGAGAAAAAGAAAAACCTCGTACTTCAAAATATACTACTGCGACCACCTCCTTTGCTCTATTACTTGTGCAACAAAGGACCAGACCTTGACACTGCAAACCTCGGCAGTGGGCTTGGCCCCGTGCTTGACGATCCTTCCGTGTGTTTTGCTTTCCTGCTCGAGCTGTAATCCAACGGGCCAGACCGCCTAACATTCCTGGATTTGTTGTCGTCGCTGGTTCGGCTTCTCACGCTCCCACCACCATTAGTATCATAAGGATGCTCCTGGCTATATGAGCCTCTGAAGTAGCTTGAAGAAGAATCGCTCACCCCATACTGAGGCGTTGAGTCCCCACGAAGCTGCCGGATACCAGGAGAAGCGTATCCCAAGGACACAGCGGGGGACTGGCGAGGAGATGCCGTGTTGACCATAGCGAGTGGCATAGATGGAGAGCTAGAGTAGTACTGACTGTAGATTGACCGCAGAATTGCATACGGTACATAGGCTTCAAGCGAGCTCCTTGGAAGGTATGGAGATATCTCGCAAAGTTGGTCCAAGAAAATAAGCTTTGCCACAACATGAGACCTGTTTGCACAAAGAAACAGGGAAGTAAGTGGACGCGGATACACCAATCATCAAGTTTGGTATGTACAAAATGCAGTGAACTTTTACTTGTTGACATCGCTGCATGAATCTAGCACAATTCCTGCTGCAAATTTGACAAAAAGCTGCATTGCGGACTTAATACTTGCTTCGGCCGACAAATTGCTGTGTATTTCAGGATCCAAAGCCCCAGATGCATGGCCATTACTTGATACAGACCGTCTTTGTTGATGCTCACGTTCCAATCTCACATATTCACTCCCAGCAATTACAGCGCTTATACACCTGTCGACAAGAGAAAATGCCTAATCAATTAATTTGCGTAAACCTACCTGCTAAGAATTAAAAAGTTAATTACTGGATACAGAAAAGCTAACCTTGCCAAGCAATGGATATTATTGTTGAAGCCTCCTGTGTCGACATTAAAGCCAGTAGTGTACCAAATGTTTGATGTCATGAAGGTGGCAAATAAGTAAGGCAACAAGGTCCATGAAGCATCACTGGCACCTCCAACTTCTTCCAAAGTCGATCTTACCCATTCAGAGTCATGATCTCCAACTATACCAACATTATTAGCCACCCCCCGAATCCTCCTGATTTCTTTCTTCTCTGGTATTTCTTCAGGTATGTGCTTAACTACTCCTGTAATTAGCGAGTGTATCAGCGGTGCGCCTTCTTTAAGCACAAGTCCCCCAGCTTCAGCTAGAAGCTCATCAAACGCAAGTGCTTGCCCTGCTTCAATGCAGAATCCAATTACAGTGTCCAAATCCAAAATCTGCTTCGAACATGCCTCTCTTTCTATCCGGTCACCAGAATGCATGCTTCCAGCAACAGACTCCAGCAGCTCACGATTCGACCTCAATGAAGTGTCAATGCAGTTCAAGAGGGCTGATGTGTGCTCCTTCATCAGTCTATCGAGTCTATCAATCCCATAGCCCCCAAAGATATGTACAAAGGCCTGCAACTCCCTGAGATCGGTAACCGATTCAGCAAAATATCCACCAACCGGCCTTGTGCTTCTGAAGCATTCATGCTTGGGTGTGAAGAGGATTCCAGCACCTGATACATCTTTGATAATGTTTTCTATGTACCAATTGCACACAACTTCAGTAGCAGATCCAGTAAGCTGCTCATCCTCAGCAGTTTTCTCAAATAGATGCAAGGAAGAAACAGGTCCACAGAAAGCCTCTGTCAGGAGAGCTTCTCTCATGCCATGTGTCAGGTCCATGCTAATGTGGTGCTCAGCTAGATGGATAATGCTCATGTGTCTACGAATCAGTGATTCTAGCACAGAGGGCCGCTGAAGATCGTTGTCTGTTTTCAGTACTGTAAGCAATCTTCTCCTGAAGTTTCCAAGAATGCACTCTCTCATGTACTGCAGAAAAGACCGAGATGTCACAACTAAATTTGGAGAGTGGAAGGTACATAGAAGGTGTGTTTCGTGTGGCTATAAAATAAGTAATTGTTTTTTTTAAGTTGACTTACAGTTAAATCAAACACACTTCATCAATCCAACTTTTGAGAAAGATTTATTAACCCTAAATTCCACAAATTATTATTTCAAACTAAAAAGCCACATCATTGATAAAATTTTATTTATAACTTTGCCGTTTAAACTAAAAATTTTCTTCTAAAATTATCTCATGATAATAGGATGGTTTCTACGGTGCACTCACAAAAATGAGGGCATACTATGCACCCATTTCTAAAACTAACATTAAGACATCGAATTTTGAATTGGAAGCATTAGTATAATATGATGATATAAAATAGGATCACAACTAATCAATGCGTTATTCTAAACTCTAGACCTTCAATTCTAAAACCTAACCCTAAATCTCTAAACCCTAAATTCTTTAAATCAAAGTAAATTTTGAAGAATTTTTGTACGAATTCATATGTTTTCTTGTCTATCCTAATTCATATCAAAAGTGACAATTGACATCGTTTTGACATTAATCGTCTAATCATAATGACTATTATGTGGGGTTATGCACCCAAAAAAGTTGTGCACCGAAGACAACCGTCATAATAATCGTTTTTAAAACATACATCTTTATTTATTATTTTATTACTAACCAAACTATCTAATCCCTTTTCAATTACTATTTCATCGCTAAATAATATCTCATATCCCATCACTCAACTTCAAAAACGCGTTTATCTGCGCTTCTAGAACAATTTGGGGGGGGGGGGGGGGGGGGGGGGGGGGGTGGGGGGAGACACTTTTTAGCATCTTTCAAAACAAACACACCCATAGTTTAGTTATTATTAGGCTGAAGTTTTCCAGGGGAGAGCCTGCCTGCAATATTCAACCATATTGTTGAGCTTGGATAAATGAGAGGGTTCAAATGTATGAAAGTGTTGTACTAGAATCAGAGGATGAACACAGCACACGAAGTCAAATAACGACAGGGGACAATATATAAGCAACAGAAGCTCAGCATTCTTACCTCTCTGAGA